GGGGGGGGGGGGGGGGGATACATCTATTTTTATTCGACCATAATCGGAATTTGTAACAAGAAGCCAGTAAATATTTGCTCTCCCATAAATTAATTGATGAATTTTCGAAGCCTCTATCGTCTTGTACGTTGTCTCGTAACTTTTGCGTTAAAAGTAATTACAATGTAAATTGTAAGACCCGAGTGCGCCGCACTCTACAGATAGTACAATATAGGACTTTGTACAGCAGCAAAATCAATTTGCCGCGACTGCTAAGAATATTTAAATTAAGTTTCTACGAGAAAAAGAGATTCTCGTTTATGCGTCACCCGTTATCGAATCAATGCAGAATACTTCGAAATATAATGAAGTTGCTAAACGTGACGTAAGCAAGTTTATGATACAATCGCTTTACACCGCAATTCACGTACACAGAGTCGATATACAATTTCCATTGCGTATTTCTAACGTACTAAGTTTTTTTTTTTATCGAACAACTCTATATCGTTCTTCTTATTTATTATATTCAGACGTACAATGCATATTGATTAGATACAGGTCGTCGATCTTGCGCCATAAGTATTTTACTTTTCGTCGAAGCGTAATTTGCGCTACAGCTTTCACCGGGTAGTAAGATTAAACTTCGCAATAAAGTAATTAATACCACAGTGGCCGTTAAGAAAATTAATCTACCTACAAATTTGGCAAAACCAATAAATGTAATGTTATATGTATCTGTATATTTGCAAGAAAAGAGGGCTAATATCCGTTTCCTTAATTTTTAATCGTGAAGATCTTGCAGACAAATATAAATACGCGGGAAAGTAGTTCGGTTGATAATCTACCATATCGTTCATATTTGCGTCCATTCATTCATTCATTGTAATTAAAATTAATGTTTCAGAAAAAAATAGCGGGTTACGCGCGCGTAAAGTCCGAATTTCTACAATAACTTAAAATAATAGACGATCAATCGTCTCCAGTCAACGCGTTCATTTCAAAATTGTCACGTTGTATACGACACTTTTACAACTGAAAAATAAAGGGGGATGGAGATTAGCCCTTTTTCTTCCAAGATATTAATAAGCTGTATATATTAGGAGCGACGAATGTGCTCCACATTACAATTCAGTATCCATCGAGAAATGTTACACGGTAAGAAAGTACGACTAGCTCCTTAAGTTCAACGGCTGATGTACAACTTCTCCAACGACGTTTTTAACAGAGGTCATCACCGTGAACTTTTTACGACCAGTACATTTATAAATTGCGTACGCGATCGCTTACAGTGGCTTATACTCAAAATCGGTTGGATATGGTGATTTTAGAACTTCGATTTCTCTTGATTTTTATAGTTAATGTGTACACACACACACACACACACACACACCCACACAGAGAGATTCGGATCAATATATTTCCATCTTGTTATTTGAAATAAGTTATGAAAGAATTATTCGATGACTCCGCGGAGACTGTAGAGTCGAGTTAAACCACTGCGTGCGAGTCGTACGAGGGCGAGTGAGCGAGGTAAAACGAAACGTGAGCGACACGGCTATAGGACAGAATTTTACAAGTGTCTGCCGACCAGACCTGGCAGGGCGACTCGTGTGTGCAGCGGTAGTGGTCCCGGACTAACTTCTCCCATCACAGTCCCCAGCTGTCCCACAAAGTATTAAACACACATCAAGAATCGATACTCCGGATCCTCCCGCGCGCGTTAATCATTTGACATTGATTCGTACATTGATCACATTCAACATAGCCATACCAAAGATTTACGTGTTGTACACTCATTCCGACTGAGATTGTTACTTATGTATGTACAAGAAGACAAAGGGCTGAACCAGCAATCATTTCAGTTACCCTTGTAGCCTATTCTGCCTTTCTCTGACTTCCCCGAAATTAATCTAATTCATCCGACGGATCAAGCGGATTGTTCCAAAGTGAAATTTGTGGGACGTGCTGATTTCTCAGCAGAGAGCACATTGCTATTCGAGATTTCCTTCATTTTCTATCTTAATTTTTTTTTTGTTTATTTTTTTCTACGTAATGTATATTATATGTTGTAATACTGAATACCTTGTTGCTTGAAGAAAGTAAAATAACAACAGAAAGCGAGGATCGTGGATATCGTTACACAAATCATATTCGTATTTAGAATATCGCATTCCCCACGGCGACTTTTTCTGTCAAATTATAAATAATAAAGTTAACGTTAACTGTAAACGTGCGCGCGTGTGTAAGCTTGTAATATCACTCTTCTAGAAATATCTATATGTACGTATGTCGAAAATATGTAAGACGAAAGTGTTTCCGATTAACTAAGAATTGGTTTGCGGTAACGCTAGTCGGAAAAACTATTGAAACGTCTCTGATACAGTGTATCGGAGAATTGTTGTGAATACCTTACATTTAATTCAATACTTAAATGTAGATATGAACAGGTCACTAACAAATACATATATACACACACACACACATATATATATATTACACACATATATATATATATGCATATATATATATATATAAATATAATTCGAGCGTGAAATAAACTTAACGGTCAAAAACGCCTTCATAACGGCAACCTACGTGCAGAGCTCCTTATGCTCGTCTGTGAATAAACAAAATAAAAATATACAAAATTAAAGAAAAAAATCGAATAATCTTAAAAACATGGGTAAATACTTGCTATACTGCAGCATGCATATTAGGAAAATAAGTATAGCGGCATTGCGAGGCAATTAACGCCCATTGTTCTTAAGTAGCATGCAAAAATACTTAAGAAATATCAGTTTGTAAGTAAACATAGTGTTATATATAATAAGTCGCTTGAAACGGAAAACTGAAATATCCCTTCTGAATCAAAAGAGAAGAAATAAATAAAAATAAGAGAGAGAGAGAGAGAGAGATGTGTGTATGTGCGGAAATTGATTTTGATAGCTCGAAAAAACGAACGTGATGAATTAAAGGAGAATTGTTTATAATAGAAAGTTTATTCTATTAAATGCTATTAAATGTTAGAGAATGTTTGTTAAAAACTTTTAGAACTATGTAAATTGCGATTGATATATTCAAGGATCGCCAAGAAAAGATATTTAAATGTTCCGTTTCCAGCGAATCGTCCTGTATAACTCTTGCAAGGGAAGGACTTAAAGATCACAGCAGCAACGATTCATCTCTCAACACCTTCTCAAGATCGCTAATCGCTAGTGGTTTGTGTGATTAAAATTAATGAACACTGAAAATTATGTTTAATGATCGGTTCGAGTGTCGCGTAGAAGGTTTTGGCAAAGACTGTTCGTTACATAATTTCCGAGCCAGAAAAATATAAAGCGTGTTTCCCGATATGCCGGCATAATTTCTGAAACGCGTTCAGCGCATAAAGATTAATGATAATTAAAAGATAACGTTTATTGCCTCCATCTGCCTCACTTTCCAAGTTATGACCTTGTTTCGCATCTAACAATATGACCTTATTTCGCATCTAACAATAATTTGTTACCGTTCAATAAATTCGATAATGAAGCTGAACGATAATACATTTAGATCATTGTAATCGAATTTGAGATGATTTCACATTGAGCATTCTTTGCTAAAGACAGACGCGAATCTATAAAACACAAGAATGGATATGACTCGATAAATGAAGAGTTGGCTCGAATATTCGTATAAATACTTCTCTTAGCACTTTTACGTATTCTAAACTGATGTACGAAATTATTACTTATATCACATATCAGGAAACACTCTGTATACATTTTAGAGAGGCAAAGTAGCACTAAAATCATTTATATTATAACACTATTCGTATGTTAATACTTTCGGAAAATCACGACGTGATATACCTAATTCGCAATGATGTAAAGAGACGAATTTGCTCTTTCTTTTCGTCAGCTCTTAGGTACATACACATACACACACATACACACAGAGATTATCAATCGTCCGCGTTTCAGGACAACGTTACAACGTTCGTAACGGAATACATCCCTCCATACCGATGATTCTGAGGTCTTCGTCATCATCATCATCATCGTTATTATCATCATTGGAATCGGAATCACCATCATCATTTCTCTCTCTCTAGAAAAACCGTTTAAAAACGCGGTCAAATGTGCGCTCCGCAAATCGCATTGTGAGTTTACGAAAGAGAGGCAAGACACACACACATAAGCGTCAAATAGATTGGAAGTTTATCGTCTTTACATTAAACATAATTTTCGGATATAATTTTCAAATTTTTATAGCAAAACTTAATATATCTCCTTTTCACTCTCTCTCTCTCTCTCTCTCTCTCTCTTTCATTACAATGTAAGTATTACACGCATTACGATTTTATTTATATTCATTTACAAATCCATTCACGTTCCGTGAATTCGTTAATGCTTGATGTGTCTATTATAAGTAACCGAATGTAGAACAGCTTCGCGTATTTGCTGCGGTTATGGTCACTCGAACGAAAATTCACACGCAATATTGCGATATTGCGGTCCGTATATTTCATAGTTTATCAATTTACAGTATTAGTACGATCAATAAAGCGAGAAAAAGTTAGTTTGCGATCTATAAACAGCGATACATATACACACACACACACACACATTTCATGGTATTTTCAACAAACGGATCAGTTGAGATCAGTGTATTTACAATCCTGTTATGTTATAGTATGTTATTATTTGCAAGATTACGTTATCACTGACGTAGTCATTCGAGAGATTAACTTAGAAAACCAGGAAAGTGGCATAAATCAGCAGAGTTAGTTCTTACATGCAATAGACGGTCAAATTCATTTTATATGAAAGGATTCAGGACGACTGATGTAAATGTAAAAAGAGGCGATTGCGATCAAGAATCCGTATAAATCACGCGATTAAACCTCTCTCTCTCTCTCTCTCTCTCTCTCTCTCTCTCTATATATATATATATATATATATATATATATATATATATAGCCTATATCGTTTATATATTACAGAGTAAAACACCGGAAACGAAACGCCTGAATATATTTCTCTTAGATTCAAAGATATATAAAAAGAATGCATAGAACGCGACTCAGATGATTAAAACTTTAAATTGCGTTCTACACGTCTCTCCACCTATCTTCAAATCCAAGAGAGGCGTAAAATGTTTTGTTTTTCGCAACTCGCCTTTTACAGGACACACGTAAAAATATCATTTACAATAGTATACACATAGCCGTAGGCTATTAATGTTTACACTAAACACCCATACTTGGAGTAAATAGGAGAAAAGAGGATGAGTTCTTACATACATTAAAAAAAATATTAGTAGACCGTAATATCACTCGCAGAGACTTTCATATAAAATGAAAAGATGTGTATGGCGTGAATATTGGTGTACAAGATTTAGCGTCTGTATGTATATAAGAGAGCCGAACGCGTGTGAAGCGTAGTTTACATAAGAGTTGACAAGTAAAATCATAAATTCCAGTCGCGAATCAACGAGTACGAAATGTATACTTTCATCGTGAAACAACGGCTCCCCTGAGGAGAACTAGATATAATGATTAGGTCTGCGGTTATTTCTACCTTCTGTGTAAATTGAGGATTACATAGGGTTCGTCGGGGTTAGTAACGTCTGTGCTGTTAGGCTGATAGCACGGATTAACAGTGTAATTGAGATTAGGCTGATGAAAACTCACCGGCTGAACACTGGTCCTCCGTCGCTCCATTTCGCGATCTTCCAGGCAGAAGTCGGAGTCCGAATCGACTTTTCTCGCGAGGTCGTCCTACGACGCATGAAACATTATTGTTTTACGCTGTTGTAATGATATAGCAATGATGACGGTAATTCGTCAAATTAATACTTTGAACGCCATGGTAGGCACCACCACTATGATACCATAGTTAAGTTACATAGTAAAGTATGTAAAATATAATTAATTGTATCTATCAAATTGTTTGTACAATCAACAAAGAGCCGATCAATAATGAGATAAGGTAAAAGATACGCGCATCTCAAATTACATTTACATATTGTTAGTATTTTAATTATCGGTTAATCTTTTGTATAATCAATGAAAGTCAGTCCGGCAATTTCAACGTGTTAATAAATAAAATACAGTGACAACACACAGTTATAACAAGGATATTTTCGCACGTTTCTCGTCGAACACGATGAAAAGTCCGTCGTGGACGATGATAAGGTTCGTAACGTTGCGTTCGTCACCTCGGACAATTTTCGTACCTGCGTCATTTGCTGCGTAGTCGTGAGAAGTCTCGCGAGAGGACTACAACAGACCGGCAACGTTTCTAGCAACGTAGGCCTAGAGTGCGTTAATAGGGGCTTCATGTATTTGGTGTCGAAATCGCCCCAAAGTCTGGCGAGCAACGCCTTTTCGTTAGGTTTCGCACCGCCGCCGCCACTGCCGCTACCGCCGCTACCACCGCCGCTGCCACCGCCACCGCTGCCTGGCAACGATCCATCCTGCATAGAATTATACTGTGAAATGTGAACAACATGTTGGTTATCCATCCTGTATGATCGTGTCTCCTTCTATGTTCTTCAATTTTTTTCTTTTTTCCAATACATGTATAAATGCAATATATAACAATATATATATGCAATGTATAATGCAATATATAACAATATATATATTACATTCAAATAGACATTCGTTCGTATAAGAATGTAAAACACCGTATTAGAATTAAGATGCAAGTATCTTTAATCCCATTTTTCTTTGGTTCTCAGGCACAAGTGTAAAGTGCACAGATGTACGGTAACGGATGTTAATTAATGTCCTTTTAATTCGTATATTCGGAATTACCTTTTATCATTAGTCATGAAATACACATGCTTCATTTATATATATACCATTATTCTCGTGTCCTGTATTAAGCACGTTTAGCGTGGGTACTGTTAATGAATGTAAATATCTCAATGTCCTCCAGCTACTCGTCAACATACAGAATGGATAACGAAAACCATACTGAAAAAAAAAAAAAGAACGAAGAAGCTCGTGCAGTCGAGGAGATTCAATATTGAAGTCTATAAAATAAAATTAATTATAACTCCCATTTGTGGAAGGGAATTTATGAATAAAGAATATGAATAATCATGCATTCGCATGCTACGACAGTACTAACATCACAACGAATGGAAGTATGCGCGTCTGTCTTAACAGGAAATATTCTACAATAACGGCACATTAGGGGGTTCGCGAAAGTTCATCGGATTGTTTGTCCCGTGTGATCTAGATTTACACTAGCTCTGTAAAACAGTGGAGACGCATCTGTCCGGAAAATACTTACACTACGAGTTCCGTTGTGAGAAAGACCTTCTATTTCCTCGTCCACTCCGACGCTACAAACGTAACGATAATTTCAATGTGAGAAATAAGAGACAATGTATTGCGTACGTAAGACTGATTAAATGGTAAACAAAGAGCAAAAAGCAGCTGACAGGTGTCACGTTTAAGTGAATCACTTACGGAATATTGAACCAGCTTAAGAATTGCGTCGTTGCACCGCCTTGCAGAATAACCGTCAATATCACAATTAAACTTGTAGTGGTCAGCATGGCTTGCCTGGCGTCTGACACGGTGTTTCTAATGGCGAGGGCGAAACTCATGGCGCCGCGCAATCCCGCAAAGAACAGCATGTGCTGATAGTTCAACGATATCTTCGGTTTCCGCGCCAGGTTCAGGATGAAAGACAACGGATAAACGTTGGCCGCGCGACCCAATAACGCGCACAGCTTAGACGGTGTTAAGGTTTATCGCACGATTTTGGTATTTCAAATTTACGTGTTAATTATGTACGAGGATTGTCTTTTGTTAAAATATATAGCAAGGATACGAATCCTGCGAAGATGAAGCCAGGATCGAAGTGATGCTTCGGGAAGGTGAACATTGAGACGCCGATGTAACTGAATATGAAATTCTCGGCCAGAAAGTTCAACAACTCGAACAACTGCTTCGTACGTTGACGTGAATCCAAGCTCAGATTATTGTAAGTGTAATGAGCCTGACATATTCCGCAAAATAGAACAGCGACCACGCCTGCAATGGTTTTTACAACAAAAAAAATATATAACACACACACATACACACACACACACACACACACACACACACACACACATATGAGATTGCATTTATCTACTATCTCCGAAGATAAGTTCCAAGCAAAACATAAATTCAAACCAACAATGACAATCTTTATATTCTCAAATTTTTCCTCGCAGTCTTATTTGACACCTGAATTTTTGACATAAACTTTTGGCATTTAATTGAATATATTGCGCACGGTTCACAGGATATTTTGTTTTTGGCAGATTGCAGATTGTTAAAAATAAGTCACAAGATATCTCCAGTTTGCGTATTTCTTTGCAATAACATACTGATAACGTGCTGAGATTCGAGATTAATGCGTGCATAAATTGTTCGCTAGTGCTATGGATTACCTGTAAGGTCAGAAGCTTCGGCGATTAAAAAGGTACTGTAAGACATCAAGACGAACAACGCCGACTCCAAGAGAGGGAAGTCGCGTACCTTGGTAAACTTCGTTAACAACGCTGTGATGCATCCCATGATGGCGCCGATGAAAAGAGACAAACTAAATATTCCCACGAAATCTCCGAATGCTTGGAAGAACGCCACCGTTTCGAAACCACCCGATCCTGACTGGTATCGCTCCGCGTAGTTTTGTATCGAACTAAAATTAAAATTTATACGTTCAATCTTGTGTACAATTTGTCAAATCCGTGTTGTCATTAAGTTAAATTTGATATATCGTTGCATTTTTGAGACATTCAGCTTTTATGGTACCTACCCGCTAAGTACAAGAGCGACTGCATCGTTCAACACGCTCTCACCGAACACCAAGGCATACAGATTTACATCTACGTGTAAATCGTTAAAAATGGATATTATTGTCAAAGGATCCGTGGGAGATATCAGAGCACCGAAGTATAGAGTATCCAGGAACGTGAATGACGTGGAGAGATGCGGTATCAATTGTATGAAGGCATACATCAAGGCTCTAAATATACATATGTGACATATTCAGATAGATAACTGGAGATCAGAGAGCGAGCCATTTAAGAAAAACGCCGTTGCTCTTTATAATGACTGAGCAGTATCACAAACTCTAAATAAAGTGAATTAATGATGCACTCAGAATACAATTATCGCACCAATTAGTATTAGTGCAATATCTCGTATTCGTCTACAGACGTCTGTTAACGACGTTTCTCTTTAAATGATGATGAAACAACTGAATAACACACATTGAAGAAAATATTTACCCAATAACAAAGGCTGATATAGAGGTTCCTATTAAAGCATACGTAAGAATGGCACCTAGATTTCGAAAGAAATATTTCTGCAACAGTTTATCACAAATAAGAATTAATCGTTGTACTCTCATTGTAATCTCATTGTTACTTTCTCTTCACGATGAATGAAGAGATCCGATAACATACTTACACGCTTTAAACTGTACCCTGCATGGAAAATGATAGGGGGCAATATAATATTGAAGAATATTTCGGGATCAAATGTTGCCTGCCAAGAAAAAATTGTAATAATAGTAATTATTTTCATATATAACAATTTCATTTCAATTCATTCCTATAATTGAACGCTTTAAAGTTCGGAGTCTACTGACACAAACAACTATTCTTAGATCAGCTTAGTCATCATGAGTAATTCATTCACCTTCAAGTCAATTTCATTATCTTCCTTGTAAATTTCACCACGAAAAGAATATGCAAATGTCTTGTTTTTCACGATACCACCACCCTTATCTTCTGGAAAACGCAACCATAATGTATCGGGTGGTACGGATTGATTGTATTTGCTGCTGTTATCTGGGACTACTGGCATGTGAAGAATAGTGCTACTTGTTGTGAAGCCATATCGTATTATTGCTCCTATGATCAAGCCTATAATAGGAAAAATGTATCGCAAAGAAATATATTGAACTGTTGCATTTGAAATATCGATTTGGTATGAATAATATTCAGTCGAATGTCACAAAAAAATTCAGAATTTGACATTTCATATATGTAGGACTCAAAAGATATATAGTTAGAGATTATGACAATATAATTATTGTGAGTAAAATGACGATAGTCGGCACGTCGAATTTTCTACATCTTTTATTGTAACGCCCACTTTGTTTTAACTTGATAAGAGGAAATAATATATCGGATATTACTGATAGCAGACGACTTACCGTAGATGACAGCTAGGCCAGTTTCATGGAGGAACCTCAAACGACGGTGCTTGAACATCCATATCGTTAAAACAGTTAAGATTAATAGGAAAGTGTAAAGAAAAAGATTGAGGCTGTCGAGCCGATGCAACAACTGTGCTTTTGCATCCAACTCGATGTCCGTCGCGGCGCCGTTGCATAGTTCCGCAAGAAAAATACAAAGAATCCCGAGAAACAAGAATCGTACACCGCCACTCGCCGCCATCTTTGCTCGGTAACGTCCTGCAGGGCGATTTTTATGTGGAGTCAGGTTGACCAACGAAAAAACTCGATGAAAATAAAATTACTAAACTGGATATGGTTATCCCAACTGCAAGTTAAATATTGCCCTCTAATAGTTCCATATAATCAATAATTTATAATAATACTTCATAAATACTAAAGCTATATACATAGAATGTTTTAAAGTTTAAATATAATTTTAGGAATAATCAAACTTTTTAATATGGAGGAAGATACTTATGCTTGTTTTTACATTTTTTTATACATATTAGAATATACGTAGAATATACGTACATATTAGAATATACATGTGGTACATAAAGAAATCTAATATCAAATATGTGGCATTTTTATTATAAATATTGTCATAATAAATTATGTCTTATGTAATATTATGTCACGTGTGAATATAATAGAGTTAAAAAGACTAGAAAGTGAAAGCAGTAAAATGATATTGTAAATCTAGTTTATAATCTATTATAATTTTCACGCTGTTGAGATGAAGACCCGGACGTCAGACGCGAGTAGATAAAAGGTACAATGGACATGAGTGTTAAACAAAGACCGATCATCGGCCGATACCATACCCAAGCAATACCGATTACTAGGAAACTAATGAACATGGAGACTGATAGGGTCAGAGACTCAACCGCTATTATGCCGCAAAGAAACGTCGAATTTAGTATAATGGTCTTTAGTATGTTTGCCAAACACGTCGCCGCCACAAAGAGCACCAGCCATCCAAGGACTCTGTAATAAGAATAACATGTTATTCATTAAAACTTTACATATATACCGACCATGCATACTTATTAATATTATTACCTAATGTACCAGGTTCGCCAATAATTATGCTTGTGCTCCAAGTGAAACATCTGATCCACCGAAATCTTGTGCTTTCGTTGCAGCAAAATCTCCTCGCCTTGCTGCGTGTAATACGGCTTGATAACATCTTTCTCCAGCAGACCAACCACCGTATAAACTTCTCCGCTTTTCCCCGCGTAAGAGAATTGTATTCTGATGTCTCCTACCTATAGGCGATGCAATGTGAGATTTTAACAAATAAAGAATAACCAACGTAAGTGCTTGAAGATCAGTGTGTCAAAATTTCTTACAAGCAACATACTTGTGGATTCCACAAGTCCGCGCTATGATAATACAATCCCGAATGCATTTTAATGTCCTTTCGTTCTGGCCTCTCGTCGCTGGTAACTTCCACAAAGTCGGTAAACTTCTTCTTCAGTTCAACCCCAAATGTAAATGCACCAATCTTCACCTCATCCGCAATCTGCAATTGGCTCTTGATTGACATTTCCTTCGGATTATGATGACCAGTGCGAATGTAGAAGTGATCCGAATCCACGAGTTTATCCTTCCATTCCGTTGTGTAATAATAGTGCTTCTCATCCTCCGTTGCACCACCGAAACTAAACGAGCATGAGAATCAAATCAGCTCGATCTTGACTGATCTTTTTTTTTCTTCTTATTTTGATTTCCTCCACTTTATGTTTTTCATTACCTTTCTTCTTCTTCAATCTCAACCCACTGATACATCTGTACCCTTCTTTTTAATTTCACACTAGACATGACAATTCCATAATCTGGCTCCGTCAATGGTTCCAAGACTTGTAAGTGCCCTGACAAGTATACCAAACGACCTTGGTAATCGGGCAATAAGGCAAGTGGATTAGAAACTACGACTATGTTGTGCAAAGCTTCATTTAAAGAATACGCAACCCTCACAGCTTTCCCCTAAAGACAAACTGCTATAATTATAGAAATCAGGTTACCGATATGCTGGATTAATAATAAGACACAATGACAAACCTCGTTCCAAAACAGAAGACACATTCCAATAGCAAACATTATAGATCCAATTATAACTGTGAGCCATGATTCTTTAAATTGCTCGGAAATTGTTGCTGACATATTCACAGAGGTAGTTTGTCTGGCAGTTAGACGGTTCTGGTGGAATCCATCGGCATCTTCTCTCTGGGACTGGCCATTTTGCTACAAAATACATACTTCACGAATCTGTTTTATTACGTCAATCTATCGATATCCATGTAGCGAATCAAATATTGTTTAACATTGCCAAAGAAACAATTATACTTACATTTGTGCGATACATCTCGATGATGGTCGTTCGATCGTTCGAGTCGTACTACTTGAAGATAAGTTCTCTTGATACTATTGCTGAGCTGTACTACTTATCATCCACTTCTTCAGAGGGCGCATCGAAAGAAGCGTTTCAAATAATCCTTGTGACGTGGCCGCTCTCTGTCGCTTCTCTTTGTTTACTGACTTGTGTATACTCCCTATTATCAAAATGACAGCATACTGTTCAACGTAGTCATGAATGTCGTGAATAACAATTGCGCAGTATGTATAAACAATGTTATAAGCAATAGTGTTATTATTATTACTTTTTCATCAGAAATTGCGTTTTATTAGAAGTTTTTAATCGCATTGTGATTTGTATAAATATACATTTCACGTAATCGTTTGTGTTGCTGTTTTTCATTACTACTACTATTATTATTATTATTACTACTATTAATCCAATTATATTTATTTGTTTTTATTAGAATATTTGTTCATATGATACGGTTATTCAATCTCATATATTTTATACATATTCTTTTAACCGAAAATGTAAATACAAAATTGGATTAACAGGTTATATAATATTTGAGATACCATGTACTTTTATAGCTTAATATATATACATATATATATATTATTTTCTTTTAGATGGATATAAAATCTTGCCAAAATACTGTACTTAACTAGGATGATTAAGTAAACAACATAATTCAACATAGTGGTCTTAATGGTTTGATGATAGTAAATAAGCCAGTAGCACAATGTCAGCAATGGCTAGTCACTTGCATGATATTTTTAGTACGCAAGATATAATAGAATTGGTGAAGCTTCTTCGTCAGAATGGTGACAAAGTCTTAAGTGCTTCCAGTAAGCTCTCGTTGTCAACAAAATTGTTACATAGCCTGAATGAAGCATTCTCACTGATTGTAGTAGAATCTGAAGAACTGGAAACTTCATTTCACGTGTGTAATAGTTCCAAAATAGACATATTTCGTGATGTCAAGTTCCTACATGATTTTGTGCAGAAAACTATAGGTCTGAAAGTGACGCACCACTTTTCTGACCCCAGAGTTACCATTGACATCTCCAAATTTCGACATTTAAAGTATTTAGAACTAAAGAAAGTACCTATTGAGTTAGTGAAGGGCTTACAGAGTATCAGAGGTCAGTTAGAAGGTATTGTTTGCGCCGGAAGAAAAGGTGTATCTACAATCAGTCAATTATTAGGTAATATTTAATATATATAGCACACAATAGTCCAAAACTTTTTAACTTAAATTTGATATATTTTTTTTTTATTTCTAGCCGTGTGTGGAGCTGATGCTGGTGTCGGATTTGTATGGGCATCCCTGAAGCATCTAGCATTGCCTCATAATGTTCTCAAATATCTGGACGAATCTTTGGAATTAGCACCTTGGCTTCAGACATTGGATTTAAGTCATAACATGATCACTAGCGCCGAAGAGATATCTTGTTTGTCAAATTTGAAGTATGTTAATCTAGGCTTCAATAGGTTAGAAAGTATACCTGCATTTAATAAGGCAGTGTTACATTCATTACAAGTCTTAGTACTGAAGAACAATTACATCGACAGTCTGAATGGTTGGTTTATTATATTTCAATGGTACTGTTTTACCACAAAATCATTCATTTTTAAGTTCTGTACTGATTTTGCCACTTTTTCCAGGTCTTCAAGGTTTAGAATGTCTGACGGAGCTAGACTTATCATTTAACTGTTTAACGGAGCATTCAATCCTTTGGCCACTTCAAAAGATGTCCGCCCTGTTGTGGGTGTCATTGGAAGGAAATCCTCTGTCTTATCATCCGAAGCATCGAATGTTGGCTTTAAAACATTTGCATCCGAGCCTGTCGAATAGCAAGGTATTACATATTTAAAGTCGCGAAATGCAATACCAATTCATCAGTTGCAACTTAATGCAAATGTGAGCAATCCTCACAGTTTGTTTTAGACAGTATATTACTCTCGAAATCAGAAAAGGCACTCGTTGCGGAAAATCGAGTCTCCATAATACGCACAAATCAATCCGCATCGTTGACCAGCGTGATATCCACGAATACATACGAATCTAACGAGAGTGGATCCGATTATCGAGCAATATCGTTAGCTGAAAACCTAGAAAGGAGTTTTACGAAAAGTAAGAAAAAGCCGAGTTTGAAAGAAGCGGTCATCACTGAAGTCGATCAAGAAAATGAAGAGTTCAAGCAGCTACCCGATGTGGTGGCGTCTTCTCATTTAGGTAATTGTGTACTTTTGACGACTGGACGTAACACCAGTAAAATTTACTTTCAATCCTACGCACGATAAAATAATATTACTTAACAATTGATTGATAATTGAACATATTAGTGAGAATGATGCGTGAATTTCGGCGGCATTCTGTCAAATTATTCTCTTTTGTCTATCCCAGAGGCATCAGCCGATCATTTAGAGACGAAGAAGCGGATGTTAGCCCTCCGAAAGAAGTTTGGCGAGGACAACTGGCTGAGCAGTCACGCGGGAACTTTTGTCCAAGACATCATGGGTCTGCATTCCGTCTCGCAACCTGCGACGTTGCCAGCAACGAGGATGAAGACTTTGGCGACTGATATTAACGTAACATCGTCTCTTCACGAATCTCTAATTTACATGATGGATAGTGAACAATCTTTCGACGAATCCGAGTCGCAAGAAATCACAGTGCAAGCGGAAGTTGAAAAAGAGGACGTTCCTCGAGACGAAGAAACGTTACCGGACGAGTCTCCGGAATTAGAGGAAACCACTCCTGCAACCGCGTATGATCCTAAAGAAGGTAACGATCGCGCAAAGTAAAATATTGATTTATCCAAGCGACGTTATCGGTGATACGAGAAGTTTCACGATCCTTTCAATTGCATTCCCGCGGTCGCTCCTAAAATACTAATATTTAAAATACTAATATTTTTCTTTATTTGTATTCTTATTTTTTTTTTTCAGAAACTGCAGATGTGTATCTCGTTCACAGAAGAAAGAACGACGGCGAGAAGGAGTACGTTTTCCTGACGATAACTCCCACGTAAGTTCTCGCTGTTCCTCCGCGTACTTGTTTAATTTCTTCAATATTACTGAGATTTTTCATAATGCTGTTAAAATGCAATTTTTTGTCGCGCACTTAACAGAGATATCAAAGAGAGAGAGACGACCAATGGAAAAGTGAGGTATTCTTGGTCGACCAATTCCGTGCTATCCTGCGTCTTGGGTAGGAGCAAGTCACCTACGGTTGATATTATTTTCGACACTACGCGGAAAGATCGGGAGAATAGGCGATATTTTGCGGAACTGAATGATGCGAAGGTATTGCGAAAGTGAGCGAATATACGGTTTTACGTTTTACATATAACATATGGAATCTGTCTATTCCAGGAAATCGTGACGATTATCAGCAAACAGTTAGAAACGCGGCCGATATTGCTGAAAATCTTCAAGTGCATGAAATGCTCGACGCAGTTCTCGCAAGACGCGGAATATGTGAGGCTCGCTGTCACGTCAACGACAGGTTTGTCCGTCACAGGCGCAGCGGGCTTTGAAGATAACATAAAGCACAAGTAACGATTCTTTCAGGTGCAAAACAATTCAAGTGCCCCGCTTGCGGCAGCAGTTTGGTCATCGAAACGGAGACTTTGCCCAACGCGGATAGCCAAGCGGCGGACAATTTCGCTGGTGCCAATCTACAACACTCCGAATCATTCTCCAGTATCGGTGAGCCTCTTCATGCTCGCAGCATGCGATGTACTTCGAGCTAGATAAGGAATGAATATAGAATGCTGTACAGAATCAGCTGCGTAGCCTCTGGACGATCGTCGTGTCGCAATCTTTCCGATCAGCGATATTGCATTTTTATTATCCATCGGATGAAATTATCCGCACAATCTCAGGTTTTGCGAGACGATGATTTGAAACAGCGAAGTAATTTTCGATTGTCACTGAAAGAACGATAACGAAGGAGATGGTTGAATTTTTTCGACACATGTGGCAAGTGAAGTTGCAAGAACCACGAGAGTCCAATGAGAATCGCCGTAGATTGGATAGCATTTGATATCTTGTCCTTTGCCCTTAGTGCTTCGTAAGTGAGTTACGAATCATCTTGCGTGCGTAGCTCACAAAGCAATTAACTGTGTTGAAGTTGGCCTGCTAATTAATAGAAGTGGCCTGAAGGAATTAATTATAATTAAGTCTCTTGCCCTTCGGCATCTGATCTGAATTAATCGAATGACTGCTCTAAGTGTTAGTTAATACATATATATATATACATTGCCCGTGTTTGTGAATTTTATTTGATGGAAACTATAACATACTAATCCCGGTGCAGGTGGAACGGAAGGTGGAGCTAAATCCGTCACCACTTCTCTGGTGCACTCCGAATCTCACATTCAAGCTCAAGTCTGCTGTAAGCTTCAGTCACAATAGTAAAATTTACATTACAGCACTCTATACTATTTCTGTAAGCCCTTCAGCCGTCAAAATTTGAGTCTTTCTCTCTCTTTCTCTTTCTCTTTCTCTTCCCTCATCTTTTTATCAAAAAATAAGGCCGTAGCTTGAAAAGCTCGGTGGCTAAAGGGTTAGAATCTCTTCACATGGTAAAAATTCGGACAGTATTTTAGCATCCTTTTAACTTTATTCCGACGTTCTAGGCGCCTGTAGTTTCTAATTTTTATTTGTAAGTACAACATATTCGCATATTCAGAGAAAAAATGCTATATATATATATATTCTATTTAAAGTAACTGGTTGATTTAAAAATGAAATAAGTGCGACTGGGACTGTTGTATTACTTTTCAACTGTGCTTGTGTCGTTGTCAGGTTCAGCTACAAGTTTAGAAGAATCAAGGGGCTCCACGCCATCCGCAAATGCGCTAACGAAGAAATACGAGAGCGATATAGAAATACTCAGCAACCCGAGCCAGAGTAGCATCGAGGTTTTGGATGAAACGCAGAAGTTAGTATGACAGTTTGGAAAAAAAGGGCCTATGAAAGCCTCTGCACTCATTAATATATAAAACCAAATTAGTTTAATCATCAGTATATAAAACTAACTCGGTTAAACATTCAAATCCCGACTACTGCATTAATTTACGGCTCTTATAGGTCATTTTTTTCTAAAATTAATATAACAATCATCGTCATTGTGTGACGTTCACCATTTATCGTTATTGCTTGTATTATTTTATCACGATATTTATTAATACAGGACAAATCTTACACCAAGTCGGAAGCGCTCGACTGAGGAAAGGCGCGCCGCAATAGCTCCTTCTTTAATAACAATTCCGGATGTAACGCCAGTTATGGCAGGCCTTACAGAAAGCAGTTCTTCGGGTACATATTTTATCGTGCACACTTTCTTATGTACTATAGATAATTATATATCATTAATTAATTACCATCACCGCTAGATTATTTATTTAATTAGTTGGCACATTATTTATAGGTTCGCTGACGGACAGCATATGCACAGCATATGAAAATAAGATGACTAAGTCGACAAACATTGACGCGAAGTCTCACAGCAGTGACGGAGAAAAGGAAACCGCGTTCGCTCCTGTAACAAACCTGACATCGATGTTGGGAGGTAATTTTGTGTAAAATTCGTAATTTCATGTCATTATAAAGTAAGTCAGAAATATCTTAGAAACCGTAGCAATATCCTCAACACATGCAATTAACTATCCTTATAACTTATTAATCTAAAGAGAGCCTTATTATTAAATACTTGACAATTATGTTTTTGTAATATTTACGTTGTCATTTGCAGGTTTGCTCCAAAGCATCAAGATCGGTAGCAATAAAATGCTGAAAGGCGAGGAGGCCTCGAGTTTCTTCGGTAGCAGCGTGCAATATTCATACATCGATTTTAGCAGTATAGATCATAGAATCAAGTTGCATATCATCCTGAATGTGTTCGAACATGAGAACGAAGAATTAGTGCTTCTGCTTAGGGTACTGAAACAATTATAATTCGATCGAATATACACAACTCGAGCTACTTATTGAAAGCCAGAAATTGGCTTGATCGATTGGTGATCGATTAAGTTGGGATTTGACACAAATCAAAAAGAGTTCGAGAACATATCAAGCTCGTAATGAGGACAATTGACTTTAGTTCGAAAAGTTTTCGTGGAAAATATTGAAACCGGTGATATTATTTATCTTCTTTATCATACAGGCAGACATTTTGATGCACTCTATGCAAGAAGCGTTTCCCGGGTGCTTAGTATTGTCTACGTCTAAGGTTTACGTTCTTAGGATCAATGGGCCGGAAGGGTGAGTTCGATTTATAATAATAATAACCAAAGGAAAAAAAATCAGTGGCACGAGGAAATTACCAGGAATCGAAACAAACCTGCGATAATAGGGAGGACCCACAACGGTGGCTTCACAAGGAAATCAGCTGGACGATGGACAGATTGAGATCTTTCGTGCCATTGCCGTTCAAACAGGGCGTCCTGATCGAGCTGCAGCAACCTGGCAAAACTAACGAGGAGCACCTGAGCATCACGCTGCTCTGCATCCTGCAGGATTTCCAGAGAACGTCGAACTTCTTATTCTACATCACAGGTGAAAATATATTATCTCGCAACAGTAGAATAGCGTGACGTGACATCCGCTCATAAAACCTCATAATTAGGAGTCTCAGATACAGATGACAGGTGGCATTCGAGCTGTTCTCACATGTTGTGTAACTGTAGATCTGCAATTACCTCCGGGCTGCGAAGTGGAGTTCACCGTTCCGGAACACTGCAGTACCGTGATGCACAGTCTATTGACGGGCACCACAAATTATCAGGCCGGGGACGCCGTACGATTACTGGCGATGTTCTCCGCCGCGGTTCTTAAACAACAGAGCGATATCGTCAAGCTGAAACTGTCCGGTTTGATCGTGACGAGTACCGCATTGGTGATATTGGAGGATAACGCTCAGTGGCTAATGCCGGACAGCGATTGTGTGCCTTCGGTCGCCCGGGAGCAAGTTATGAGCAATTTGATTGCGATAGTTAGTAACTCGAGATCACTTTTGTCGCTCACAGTCGAATTACAGTTTGCGATTTCGCGGCTCGAGGCCGATTTTGTAAAATATGTCATACGTACAGAGAGAACTCTCGATCGGTATACGAATCGTTTGCCGCAACAAATTATTAACACATTAATTAATGATCTATGTACAGGAACACTGTGACACCTCGTTAACTTTGAACTTCCTGGACGAGGTCGCAGGGCTCGAGGAAAATTGGAATTTGGAGTTCGTCTCTCCCGGCGCAGTCGAAGCTGTGATCAGCTCGATACAACCACCGTGGGAAGAACTGTTCTCGATACCTTTACAGGTAACCACACGCACCACGCAGGATAACGTGGAGAAGGTTTAAATATTTACATGAATTAAAAAAAAATTTTTGTGGACTTTTTTTATCGATACAAAAAAATTGAACAAATTGACCGTTTCCTTGTCAATCTAAAAGAAATTCTCGACAAGACTCATGTGATCTTTGAGTGGATTTTTTAATCATCTCTGAGTTTACAAACATGAGGACGCTTTAGAAATATTATACGAGATATAGAGGATTGATTACTAATTCAGTGATATTTAAGGGGCTGTCGATAGAATCTCAACACATGTAACCAAGTTTCCAGTGGTGCTATAAGAGCTGGAATGTTGTTATTTACAAGTATATCTGAATTTTCCACTTCTTTCGCGTACATAACTTTTCAGCCTAAAAGGTTTTTCGATATCGCATGCGATGCAATCCCTTCTATACTTGTACAAATTTTGGATATTTCGCACACTGAATTCGGCTGTCGTTCAATTTGACAGTTTTTTTCATTCAACGTTAGTTCTCATCGAGCGCCTCTGACTGTGATATGTATATTTCAAACTTTATATAATAAATATTACGAGACTCAAAATATTTACTGTAGATATTTGTATCGAGATAATATTGTAATTTATATTTTGTAACAAAGCGTGAGATAAATATAATTATGACCTTACAAAGGTGTGCGCTTTTTCTCAATTTTTATTTCTGCGACATCGTTCCTCCCTTCCAAGAGAAAGATCACAATGAAAGATGCAGTTTCACTTGAGTGCATCTTACGTGATAAAAGACGCAATTTGCTTCTTTTATGCAGGGAACCGTGTTTGTAACACTTAAGAAACTGCGGCACATATACGCTGACAATGATACGCACTGTCGTGAATACTTAATAGACACTCGTTTCCAATACTTGACGCAACGCTAAACGTGTCAGTCATTCACAAGAATGTTATTCCTTCCTACGTAACACAGTTTCACACAGTTTCGTGAGCATCTCGAGACACAGGGGACAATTCTATACGGTGCGTGTAGATCAGTAATAAATTAGAATTATCTCCGGCGAGCGACGTCCAAGATTCATATTGCAAATTTATTACACATACATTGAGACGATAGATTTTTTACATTAGAACTTAAAAAATGCGCGATGTCTCGCAAGTCACGGTGGCGTGGATCATTTTCTTCGTCATCGTACCGGGCATCACTGGTTTTGGATACAGCAAAAAAGGTATGTCAGCTCTTCGTAACGTTGACGCCAATTATCACGGAGCTTAGCGGAGATCAGGACTCACGTCGGAGTGCTTCGTTTCAGAACAACACTTGTGGCCGAAGACACATAAATTATGCGCGGGTAAGCTGCAGTCACCGGTCTCTATATCCACGTCCAAAGCGATTCCTCTGCCGCTTCCAGCGCTCGAGATGATCGGTTACCACGACTTCCTCCCGATGCCGCAGACACTTGTAAACGACGGACGAACCGGTGAGTGTGTGTCCCCCTACTCACGAGACATCGAATGGAAGTCGTCGAGACGTCTCCTAAAGTACGCGCGCTTTCTTTCAGTCAAGCTGACGATAAACAAGAACGCAACGCGTGGGAAGAAGTTGCCGTACGTGTTCGGCGCTGCGCTGAAGCGAGATCAGCGGTATGAAATGGAGCAATTGCACTTCCATTGGGGTGCGAAGAACAATAGGGGTGCTGAGCACGTGTTGAACGGCGTGAGGTGATGATCGTAATTATTGACAGAAGTAGCTCTCGTAAATAGCCGAATAATATCACAGAGAATAATTCAAGATCAACGGTCGCAGATACCCGATGGAAATGCACATCGTACATCGCAATCTGGCATATCCAAACTTGTCGCACGCACTGCAGCACGAGGACGGTGTGGTCGTAGTGGCTGTTCTCTTCCAAGTAATTCTTACAGTTTTTAAAACTCACGCTGGACTTGGGTGTCCGTCGAGAACTTGAGGTCCCTACGATTTATAGAACTGACAACACGTTGTGAAGTAATGCCTGGGGTGTAATTATTACACACGATTTCAGTTGCAAGACGAGCACAACGAACATCTCCGACCTCTCTTGGAACGGCTGCCGGACGTAAAGTGGGCGTACGCTGAGCTATCGGTTAATGTGACCATAAGTTTGACATCCTTGATACCCTCAAACACGGATGTTTTTCACACGTACAAAGGATCCCTTACCACTCCGCCTTGCAGCGAAGCAGCCACCTGGATAATCTTCGCGACTCCAGTCCCGATATCCTTCCGCCAAGTATTTCGCATTACAATCATATTTCATCGTTCCGTTGAAATTCATCATCGAATGAAACAGTGTTCGTCGTTTCCGGCAGATGAACGTATTCCGGGTACTCTCGAGCGGTGAGGAAGCGTTAGAAGACAATTTTAGACACCTGCAAGGTGTTGGTCAGCGCAAAATATACACCAGACGAATGCACACGTGGCTTTTCCTTAAACATGGCAATTCGCAAATGGATTTCTCAAACTTTAGCTGGTTCTGGACTTAGGGCAATTGTGCAAGCAACGTTATCTAGCTCTGAAAGTATAATACATCGGTATTTATGAGATAAAAACGATCAATCTCTATTTTTACTTTTATTATATTTATATTATATTAAGTCGTTGCAAAAATGAAATATTTTTATGCAATAAAAATTGCTATTTTTGTGCAATAACTTTATAATAATAAGAGGAAACTATAAAGTAATAACAAACTAATAAATAACTAATAAAAACTATGAAGTTGACTGTTACAAAAGATCTTTGTAGCAAAAGTTTCACTTTTTATTTAATTTCCCTGCAAATTATGTAATGTCTAAATTCTATTGTAAGATGAACTCTTGCTAAATTATAAAGATATTTGCTAATATGTCACTTACTTGCTATTAATATATTGTAGAAATTATGATAAATTATAAACAACTCTCTATTGTATAAAACCATCTCCAAATTATTTGTAAAGCTTTTTGCATGAAGAGATCCCTGATTTGGCGATCATGATCCAATTTACCAGAGAAATACCATTCTTATGCTGAGTTGGCCAGCTTAAGAGACCTTGGATTGGCCATAGCACATCTTTTGGCAAATCAATTACTAGTGCATTGTTATACATGTATATCAACAACAATAATAACATCCCCTGAAAGTATAATATATCTCGATTAAAATCATTAAAAGTTAATTCAATCACTTATTTCTGTGAACATTAACACACCGAATGCCACCACATCATCTATAAACAGGTGATAATTAAAACTCACATGTCACTTAAATATGAATGATGATGTGGCATTCAGCATGTTAAACGAGAAATTTACATACATTCATCACATAAGAAATATAAGTTAAGGACAATTGCAGTTTTGTTCTCCAATTGTACCGTTGTTTCACTGCAAAAGAAAAGCCAGATGCAAATACGTGTACATATACAGACATAAATATGTAAAGTTGATATTAGCTACAATGTCTTTAAATTGGCGCATTAAGGAAGAAATATAGGAACTTACTGTTGTCTTTCAAGACACTTTCTAATTTGTTGTATTTGCGTTGGAGCCTGGCGTACCTAGCAAATTCATTTACCATAGAAATCCCTGTCATCTCCCATCTCAAATCCATCAGCTGGTGCCGCAAGTCACAGTCATACTTCTTTCGCGCGTATTGTCGCGATATTATCTGTGTTTTATCAGATTAAACTTTAATTCAAAGTCGTGTGAATTAATAATTTCAATACAAAATAATGAAACGATTAATCTTGAGGATAAATTCACATGTCATCTCAGAGTTTTTTTATAATGAGTATACAGAAACGTAAATACTTACAAATTTAACCAGGAACGGTGTAACGTGGTCCAAAACACAGATCAAAGTGGATACTAGGAGTAAATCCATATCGCACAATGTGACATAACCTATCATGTACAATGGTCATAGGTTATAGTTGGACATGAGTGGACATAAAAACATGATTGATAATCGTGGCACTATACACAAAAGCCCTTGATTAAATGTTCCTTAATACCATTGTCTTTTGATGATAAAGCGTGTACATTCCCGCGAGACACCACCGGGTCTCTTGTTACGTTATTGATTGTATCCACCCTTCAGCTCTGTCGATAAATCGTTTGATACGCGATGTGCGCGCTACCACTAATGAGGTTGAAGTAAAACCACCAATCCTACATAAATTTTTATATATTTGTATATGTATGTGTATATATATATTAATATATGGAACACACTTGTCGATCCATAGAATAGTTATGTTCAGTAGATTATAACGAAATTAAGTTTCTTCAGGGCGTCAGACGTTTGGGATCACGCGGGAACATGGACACCTTGCGAATATTGTCCAATCCAAGATACAGCATCACCACGCGTTCCATACCTATGCCGCCGCCGGCATGCGGTGGACAGCCGTACCGGAAAGCGTCGATGTACGACTTGATCTTCTCAATATCTGAAACGAAAAACTCGGTTACCGAATGACAGAGGGAGTGGATGACAGAAGTGAATAAGTACATAACGTTCTCTTTTCCGTACGGATGTACTTGAAAAATTTTCCCACGAGCCGAAAATTTCACTCACCTATTCCGTGATGCTTGGCACGCTCGGTGAGAAATTCCGGGTCATGAATACGCTGCGCGCCAGATATGATTTCCTCGCCTCGCATAAACATGTCGTATGAATTGGAAATTTTCTACAAATGGGGGAATTGATGATATCAGCGCTATTTCATGACGAAACGGAGTTATTATCAGTACAACTGGACACTTACGGGATTGTTGGGGTCCGGCATAGTGTAGAAAGGCCTTACAGCAAGTGGATACTTGTCCAAGATATAAAAATCCGTATCATACTGAAAAGTATATATTTGTAACGTGAACAAACGGAAGTCAGACATAGAAAATGAATCACGAGTAGACCAGTGCTAAGAGCAATCGTGTGAACATTGGCAGAAATATTTCATCAAAGATCTTCAAGTTCACCTCAAAATTTCCCAACGTCTTACCTTGGCTTTGACGAGCTTTCCCAAGAGCTTTTCATCCGGCGTCGAAAGGTCGTCCTCCTCGCCCAGAGTCACGCCCGCTTCGGCCAACAATTCAATCGCTTGCGGGAATTCCAATCTTAAAGCTGGCTCCAGGAACTTGAAGGGTTCCACCGCGTACTGTTGATTGACCGCTGCTATGTCGTCCGCGTATCTAATGAATCCGCATGAAACCAATTACTACCGCGTGAATGACAAATTTATTGTATTATCGAGAATAAAAACTGATGGGGAAATTTTACCGACCGAGGTAAAAGCTCTTTTATTGAATTGCGTTAACTAGTAACTTAATGTCACCAACTTGTCGCGCAAGCCTTTGAACAGCTCGGTGAACATTTGCCCGATGGTATCTATCACCTCATGATAATGATACTTGAAAGCCATCTCCAGATCGAGACCCACGAATTCAGTCAGATGTCTGTGCGTATTAGAATCTTCAGCTCTAAAAACTGATCGTGACAGTTGTTAAAAAAATAATACATTAACATTAAAAAATAATACATTAAAAATAATACATAGAACATTGAAGAGGTGATGACATCTGTTTACAAAGACTTCAAAATTTGTCAAAATGTCTACTGAATTGTACCTGCTCCGACGGTGAAGACTTTGTCGAAGTCGGCGGCGATCGCCATCTGCTTATACAGTTGAGGTGACTGCGCCAGGTAAGCATTGCCTTTAAAGTAAGACACTGTAAACACGTTCGCTCCACCTTCGCTGGCCGCAGAGATGATTTTGGGAGTATGGATTTCTACAAAGCCCTGGAAGTACGCAAATGCAATGAGACTTTCTCGTAAAAATGCGTAAAATCACATCAGACCTACCTTTTTCGTTAAAATGTCTCGGAACAGCTTGCAAACGCCAGCTTCCACCCTGAAGATTGCCTGATTAGCCGGGGTACGTAAATCCAACACTCTATTGTCCAGTCTGGTGTCCTGATTCACTCGGATGTTCAACGTCGACTCGTCCAATTCGTTGACAGGCCTTGCGGCATCTTCTATCTGCAGAGGAAGTTGCGGTTTCGCGACGCTTACCACGAAAACACATTTCAGTTCAATTTCCACATCCTTCTGCGAGCATGACTCGATCTTCGTTGGCGCAGATCTCACTATGCCCTCAACGTCGACTATGGATTCCTTCGTAATGCTAAACAGAACAGGACATATTAATTCCAAAAAATATATAGCAGTTGAATCCTAATTGAGTTTATGAGTAAGAATATAACAGTGAATATATACATATTCAAGATCTATAGATTGCAAAGGACAATGTTCAGAAATATTTGTACACAAAAACTTACTTGGATATAAATTTGATCATTTGCTTGTTTACAGTCGCTCCTTCGTTAGCTAATCCCTGCACTGTGTACGCTTGTTGTCTCAAAACGATAAAGCACCGTTTGCCTGGAAAGAAAATTGTAAAATTATGACTACACAAAATAAGTAAGATGATATTATTTACCTTTGGCACGACTAGTGTGTAAGCGACCTCTCAACCAGACCGTCTGGTCTTCTAGTTCTTTATTTAGATCCTTGATTGCTTTAAACTTCCTATCTTCAAACTTCTCGGCACTTTGAATCATGTTCATCTGCCCATAACATCCCTCAGACACATTCATGGTTTCTTCTGCAGATTCTTGCTGCTGTTGCTATAAATAAAATATATAAATGCAAAACTTATCGTATCAATTTAATCAGGATGAAAAATTTATTTAGATTTTATTCATTATTCTACTTCGTTGTTTATTTTAATACATTATATAAATCATGTTACTAATGTTACATGTTATTTATTTACACGATATTAGTAATATTATATAATAAAAAATTTATAATGTAAATGATGAAATAAAATAAAGAATAAGATCCATGTATTCTTTAGTAAAAATACATATTAACTTACAGTCTGTGCCTTTTTTTCTGCTTTTTTTGCTGCTTTCTCTGCCTCTTTCTGCTGTTTTTTGAGTGCTTTTTTAGATATCTCATCTCTTTATAAAGAAACAATATAAATTCTCATGTATATTACTTGAGGTATTAAGAATATTAATATACAAGCAGATGAATTAATAATATTATTTCCGAAAACAATCCTGATATGAATTACAATTGAGAATATTAATTCATGTATAAGAAATAAAAAAAATATTTTTATATAATTTCAGGACAAATTGAAATTTGTGTAATACTTTATATTTAAAATATATAAATAAGAAATTCCTATTCCTTATTAATTTACATCATAGATGCATAGACAGATTTTATCAAACAATAATGATAAGATTGAGTCTTACCCTGCTACAGGAGAATCTGCAGGTTTATCTTCGCCCATCTGCGAAAGATGATGCAATATATTGTTTCCAACAAATAAGTATGTTACGTCATCTTGTCGGTCACATAAATTACTTTGTTGACTTCAAATCTTACTGACAAATATTTTGCTTTGTATTCTATTTGTGATAACAAAATATATGTAGAACAACTATAGTCTGATTTTTAACCTTGAAATTGTAACGCATATGTTGGCATGAAAAATAAAGTAAAAATAAAGATTATATAATCCAGATACAAAAAAATGTCAAAAAAATTAACATAACGATGGATATAAATAAATATATATATATTTTTTTAATAAATGCAGTTACAGTGACATAACGCAGAGGTTAGAATACAAGAAACATTATATAAAATAAATAATAAAAACAAATTAAATGTGCGCTGTACTTACTCTGTTATTTCGATTAATTATTTGCAGTAACCAAATCTTGCAACAAATTATAAATCTCGTACCCGGAGCCGGGGTGATTTTTTGCGAATTGCATGTGCAGTTATATCGATACTAATCGAAAAGAGAATGTTCGGGTTCGAGAGTGATATATATCGATATTATCGAGAACATCGCTACTTTATCGACCTATCAATATCGAAAAAACTGGCGCAATATTAAATCTATATTAAATCCAACTCAAACTAAACAAAATTCTACAAAGCTTTGAAACAACTTCAATAACTGATATTCATTCACCTGTTGATTCTTTTTATTAGCACCATTATTATCTCCTTATGCTAAATATTTTTATTATTCTCAATATTAATATTATTTTCCAATGAATAGAATAAACAGTACATATAATCGTGATTCTAACGGCACAATATTGAACATCTAAAAAGATAAAGTACAAGACAATTGACAGAATTGAATTTAAGCTCAATTATGACATCTTAACAGATTTACAATGCTATAAAGAGAATTATAATAGCGCATAGGAAATGTGAGTATTATTGATTTCTCATACTTTCACAACAATTTATCTGCGTCCACTTCAACTCCTACAAGCTATTTTCTTCGTTTCTTCCTGTTCCTCCAAAAATGTTCTTCTTCCAGTATTTGGCCGAGTAGCTTACAGATCCAGCTTCGTGCTTCATTTCACGTTAAAATGCTCCAAAAATATACATTTATATTATTATAGTTCGAATAGAGTGCGTGTAAGAGAGTGCAATTGAAGCAGAAGGAGAACCAACAAAAATATCACGATCCATTATATACTATTTATTCTACTTGTGCCGCAGTCATGAAGACTTAAAAAAAAATAGAGCAGCGTTCCATGAGAGGATGGTGGTCGGTTAAGGTGTGGGATTCTTATCGGGTGAAGGATATGCTCGCGTCGCAGTATCTCTCTTATCGTCACGGTACTATCCGTTTAGCACTGTCGTCGGCAGACTCCAGTAGGAAGGGGATGACGGGATTTTGTAGCGCACGTGGCCGAACTTCGAGCTCGTCGAGCCATTTGATACTACTACTCGACGGCAATGATCGATGAGAACCGGTATTTAGGCTCCGAACAGCATGGTCAGTCGCCTCGTCCCAACTCTTCCAGCTCACACCTTCGTGACCTGAAAAAGCCAGCGTTGGGCGTCTACGCATACATACAGATCACAGATGCTTACGTGTTAGCCTATATTGCGACAAGCTCAAAATAACCATTACAAGAGATTCCTGTTGGTATTACCAGAGATACTAACATGGTATGTGATCTATTCGTCGTAATATAAATAAGGAGTTTCCACGTGAGAAAGAAAAATCGGGAATACGAAAATAATGTTAATTTCCTGCATGAAATCATATCCTCTTGACTCTCTTTTTTTTTGTGTTTAAGTGAGTTTCAATGACTTTGCATCCCAAGTCTTGGAACTCATTCCAATAACAAATATTAAACAAAAGAAACATGCAAAGATATTTTGATACTTTACTCTAAACGAATAATTATAACAAAGTGAGCAGATATCTGCGAGCGAGCATGATTGTATGATTGAGGGCAGCGAGGAGGAGAATACGGTGTAATAGGACATATATATACACACATACACATATACATGCATGTATGTGTGTACATTTACATATAATCCATGGGTTCGAGAAAACACCTAATGAATCTTATTCATATTGTTTCGATATAATTGTACATAATATGCCATCCTTAGAGTTTAACTTAAAAAAAAGTAAGAAAGGAAGGAGAAGCATGAAGCCTTCCAATGTTTACTTCTTACTTTTCAGCTTGTCCGAACTCTCATCAAAGGTTGGATCTTGTATATTCAGCATCAGACTGTTGCCACTGAGATACACTCTGTTCTGGGAGGCGGCGATCTAAAACAAGATGATCGTTTCCAATCAGCAATACAAACTCTATTTGAAGACCCATTATGAAACACTTGTCTTATATGATGAAATGTTACGTGGAAATTTCATCATACTTTTTCTAAATTTATATACGATGTTTAACATCAAACTCGCAATCATTTTCCATTAGAATACTCACCGTCCGAGAGATGTTTTGCGCAGCTCGTATCTTGCGCAGCTTCAAGTATCCAGGATTCTGACCAACAGCTATACCAAGGTGCACTGCAGTTAAGGCAATTACAGTTTGACAGAAAGCTCAGGGAGAGTATTGTCATTATGTTTAAGAATTAGATTAACTGTATACTCAAAAATAATATGTGAGTTTTACTGCAAATACCATAGCAAAATTATAGATGTCAGTAAAATTAATCTAACCATATTCCTTCGCTTGTACTTAGTGCATATTTTGTTTAGATTAATAAGCCGCAAACAATTGACACATAATAGCGAATTAGCTGGGAAAATTTTAATTTAAATAAAGGATATCATTTTCGCTGCTTCCGCTTCTCCCTCGGCCTGTACAATCTTTTGCTGTCGCTCTTGTTTGGCTCTTTCCACTACAAAAGCTGCTCTTTGGGCTTCTTGCTGAGCTACTTGCTTAGCCTCAACAGCAGCAGTGTATTCCTTGCCGAAACTAAGCTCCGTTATCGAGACATCGTCCAGAATAATATTGAAGTCCCGAGCGCGCTCTGTTAACTCTTTGCGCACCATATTGGATACTTGCTGTCTTTGAGTGATCAGTTGCGAAGCGTTGAATTTTGCAACAACGGATTTCAGCACCTCATTACAAATGCTTGGCAATACCTGAAATAAATCGATCTTCGCTTATTACTCTTTGTCTAACTTCAAATCTGTGATTATACATTGATTTTGTTAAAGATCAACATTAATTTTAAATACTAGGAAATGTAGTTTTACTTTTAACTTGTAAAATAAATTAATGATATAAATTAAAATATCTTTGTATAGAAAGAGATAACTACAAATTATAATTATAAATCTACCATATATGATAAAATAAAACAACGTTCAAATTTTAACATAGCTCATTTTGTGTAACTTTACGAAAATCATCCATTCACTAAACTGGTAACCTTTTCATCATAGTCCAGACCAAGTTGACGATACATTATTGGCAATGTGGAAGCCTCAGGACGCGAAAGTACACGTAGTGAAATGTTGACCATCTGTAAATCCTTAGATCCTGTAGGCGATGAGATCTTCCTGGGTCTACTTCTAATATCGTAAATAATCGGATAATGGAACCATGGAATACGAAAGTGTAAGCCTTCAGTCATAATATCCTTCTGAATACCTCCCAATCTAGAGAATATAATAGCTCTGTGTCCAGCCTCCACTGAAATTTGTATAATACAAATTAAAACTTCTTGTTAAATTTCTTGTTAAAAATGACAAAAGTTACAAGAATTAAAAAGCTTCAATTTGCATTTTTAATATATTCTTGAACAATAATGAGATTGTATGTTGAACAATCTACTAGAAAAAAAAGTATACAAATATTGCAAAATTTAAGGTTTAATTAAAATCAATTTTTTGCTAGATCAGCAAGCTAAATTAACGAGAAAACAAATATCAAACGTAAAAATTTATGTAATAATTACAACGATTACACCATAAATTACATAACCAGACACATGTGATGATGGAGAGAATGTTAAGGGGAAAAGATGAGCAAAAAGGCATTGATATTCCAAAAAGTAGCATCATTCATGTAATTTAACTGAATTGACATTTAAAGTCGTCGGTTATTCGAGACAAATGGTAGTAGCTAGAGAATATCATACATCATCGTAAGTTCGGCGAGAACGTGAAAAAAATTGCGGTTAACCTGTATACATGGCCTTGGAAACGCTGTAGACCGCTACGCCGGCAGCAGCGAGGACCTTCACGCTCAAAGGAACGCCGTTCGTGCCCTTGCCAAAACGCGATGCCAGATCGTTGAATTTATTTTGCGCCATTTCGAGAAATTATGCCGCGTAATTGATTAACAGAAACACCACCGACCAACCGGCGAAAATATCGTGAAGAATCGAGAGAGATTCGGGGCTGGAACAAACCAAAATGGCGACCGTACATCGATATCGGAAAATAAAGAAGAGTACCTATTCCTAAAGCCTGTATCAGATGTACAGATTAGGATTGAGATCGAATTGAAATTTAGCCAATCAGAGCAAAGTTTATTAACTCAAGTTTAGTAAACTTTGTTCTGATTGGCTAAATCTCAATCCATCTCAATCCTAATCCGTAGTCTGATATGGGCATAAGTCCAGATCTACAATAAGTGTAATAAGTTTTGAGCCGTAAGAAGCTGACCAATCAGTTGAATGTGAGAAGAATAATCGATTGTGATTAGTCAATTTTTTACGGCTTAAGGTTTACTACATTTATTGTACATTTGGTCTACTGCTTTTCACTGGGTAGTTTCCAACAAGGAACAAAAAGCCGTTTCATTGGCTACGTATCATCTCTAAATAAAACGATCGTCGGTGATGCTTTAATAAACATCCACTGTTTTCCCTGTGCATACAGCGCGTGAAACTCATGTATTTGTTTACAAATTTTCGCCTAAAATCTGATCAATCAAAGTTATAATAAAGATGGTGAAATATTGCGTCTTGAAAAATTGTAAAACCGTTTGGAATCCACTAGTGGATGTTGGATTTCATAGGTGAGATAATTAATTAAAAAACAACTTAACCTTTATGTTATTCCATGCTGAAACAATTCCTTTGATTTAGTTTTCCTAGAACGAATGAAGATCTCCTTGCAAAATGGATTGCAAGCATTCCTAGAGAATTATTACCGAGATGGACAGATAATTCCAACATTTGTAGTAAACATTTTGAAAAGAATTGTTATGAAAGTGGATGCATTGTTCGCAGACAGCTAAAAAAAGATGCTGTTCCTACTATTTTTAAATGTTCAGATGAAGATGATAATCTTGTAAGTTGTAATAAACTTATCTTTAGTATTTATGTTTTCTTATAATGCCTCATATAAATATATATAAATATTTAAGATATGTGTAACTTCAATGTATGTTTCTATTCTATTTCATAGATGAGTAAAATAAATTTAGGCTCACTACAGCAACCTGGCGATAGTAACCAATCTGTCACAAGTTCTAATAATATTGTTTTCCATAATGATATTCCAGATTTAAGGACGGTATGTTATTCATAATTTCTTTTTTATTAAGAGCTGTTTATCTCGCTCGTATGAATTGAAGTATCACAATAAATAATGTTTTAATGATTGTGTTGTAGATACGCAAAATTGATGTGGCGGTACAGGTGGAAAGTCGTTACTTGCCAGTATCACCTGATAAGGCAAAACTTAAAAGAGACATAAAGGTATTGCAGCAACGTTTAAGGCGGAGGAACGAAGCTCTTACGTCCCTAAAATTACTGGTGGCCCAACTCAAAATGTACCAAGGCATTCACAGAACTCATAGTGAATAATTTAGTAATAATTAGTGAATAATTTCTCAGGACCATATCGCTCAGCAAAAGATTGTAATTACTATATAATGTAAAGATATCCAGATATCAAAATCTGCAAAAGCGAATTTTGCATAGTCTCTGTAAGCAGCTTGCAGAAATATGAGAGGATCTGATGATAAACTGACATCAGAAATCGAACAAGATCTGTCGTTCTAATGTATTGAAAAGGAACATGCTGCAGATCCTGCTCGATTTTTGCCATCTGTTAGATTGCTTATTGGGTAACAATGTGAATATATATATGTATATAGAAAGAGAGACTATTATATCTGTTATATTGCCTTATTATGTACAGATCATGGTAAAATATCAATGTAACTTAAATGTAACATATTGAATGTAACATAATATACGACGAATGTGATGTTTGTATTATTTATGTGGTATATGTGATTTTTTGTATAAATGCAATCAGTGAGATCTGTCAATCACATTGAACCTCAATGATCATCATAACAAATAAATGGACACGATGCGTGTGATTGGAAGATTCTGAATGCAGAGTTTCGTACATTCACCGTAGGAGGTCTCCGAAGTTGATACGAAATTATTTATATACCCGGCTCGTAAATTTCTATTATATTTTGTGAATATTTGGTGTCGAATATAAAAGTTCACGAGATATGGCCGGTTTACGCTTGATAAGAACGTATTCTTCCGACACGGATGAAGATGAGGACAAAGAGAAGAAGAATATCGCAAAAAAAAACAAGTAGATAGGTTATATTACGCATTGAGTTATTGGATTGATGCAAAAGTTTGTTACGTTTTCCGATCAAAATATATTTTTATATAATATTTTATATTCATTTTAAGATAATAATCGATTAAATGTGCGCCGTTTTATATGATACTGAATTTATCATCTCTCCGGTAGCTGCTTAATCCCGCGCTCGTAGAAATTCTGGGATTTCTAAGCGCAGAATTGATTACAAAGATGGAGAAATTTTTTTGCATCAATCTGATATACGCATACAACATTGAATATATTTTATCTCTTGATAAATTAGTATATATATTATATATAGTTATATTCTCAATAAACATTATAGGCTAGCTTTACCTGAAAGTATTTTGTCATGGAAAGGAGTCTTGCATCATGAAGAAGTAACCGATGATCCACTGGATCATGACGGACGAATCCGAAGCTTCAAACATGAGCGTGGCAACTGGGCAACATTAATTTACATAAACTGTGAGTGTTCCAATTCCAAACTCAATTCGGATGTTAACTTGTACACTCTAAGATACGAGCACTATTTATCAAAGCATTTTTAACACATGCTAAGTTCCTACGATGGTTAATACAATCGTTTGGATTATTTACGACAGTATAATATAAGAATTTAATTTTAGATGCAGCCAGTGATTGTCTTCATACTTGGATGAACTCGGTATTGAAAGAACTGCCGGTCAAAGGCGATATTATTTCTAAGCTTCATATTAGTCTTAGTCGTACTTTGGTCCTGAAGTTCCATTGGATTGAATCATTTGCAGAGAACCTGAAGCTACTGTGTCGTAGATTCAGTCGGTTTACTATACAACTCACCGATGTGAGAGTATATTGCAATGAAGAAAAAACTCGTACATTCCTTGGGATTTATTGTCAGAATGATGATGGAATCTTGAAGTGTCTAACAGAGGCTCTTAATGGTTTGTTAGCTGAATATCAATTACCATTGTATTATAAGGTATGTCAAATTGCATATTTTTAATACTGTCAATATAAACTGGATATATTTCCATATTATTCATTCCTCTTCCCCAAATTTCTATTTTAGATAACAATTTTTACATGTTTTTTATATGTATAGGATACTTCGTATCATATTAGTTTCTTCTGGTGCCTCGGAGACCAACAAATGTACCTGAGGAAGATCCTACCGTCTCTTACTCGCAGTTTAAACGAATGTTTGGCAGAAAATATGGAAGATAATTATATAAACGTCGACGAGATACAGTGCAAAATTGGCAATAAATATTACGCTTTTGAACTAAGATAACAAATGTCTCTAAGTTTTATATCAGTTAGATTCAATATATCTGAATTTCATTAAGTTGTGAAATTTATCTCAGCAATTTGTGTATTACCTGTTATGACAACATTAAGCTCTCACTTAATTGTTCCACTCGATATATTAGTTTGAACGAAATCTTGAAAGAGAAACTGTGCTAAAGGTGCGGATCACACACTGATAATGCATTTGTGTGAAGATGTGTTGTGTGAATTATTTTTTGTCGTAAACATTTTGTCCATGAAAAATATCTTGTAGTAAAATTTATTGTTTTGCACTCGAAATAGCACAATTATATACAGCATTAATTATATAATTAAATTTTTTGCGTATCAAAAGTAGATTAGACTTTGGAAATTCCTTGTAAGTTTTTAAACAAGTCAAAATGGCTTGAAAATAGTTACATTATGAGGTAATCTCGTTACAATACCCGTGTCACGCCACAGTTTAATCCAAGAATCACATAAATCGGGCTCTACACTAGCGACTAATGTACAAGTTTCGGGATTTTGTATGAATAACTGTGCTTCCGGGCCACTCACGATATCGCTGCAACCGCTAACATCGATGAAAGTCAACGTCGGCTTACGACTCAACAACATATTTACAGACGACACGGTCACACTCTTGTTCCCACTTAATATCAGTTTCATCAATCTAGGCAGCTGTTCTAAAACACACCTCACGTCATAGTCCGTTACGTCACAGAACGAAAGTTCCAACGATTCCAAGCTCGGTGACAGAACCATGTTCAGTGTCTCCAAAGCTGAGGTGAATCGGCCGTGAGAAGGCAAAGTGTTAGACAAGTTCAAGTCGAACATTCGCCTGCCTAGAAAAGAGGCCGTCGAGTCGCGGCTCAATTTGTTCCACGAGATGTCACAATTCGTCAAATTAGGATTTTGTTGAACGGGTTGAACGTGGTGTAGCGGAAGGCGAAACTCCTCCAGTTCGCAGTAGCGCAGATTGAGCGTTTGCAAGTGCCTCAGAGGCGCGATCAGCTTCTGTAGAGTTTCGTGGCTCTCCGCGCTCAGCGGATTGTAACTCAAGTCCAAGAGCCGCAGCTGAGACGGCAGCCTGGTTATCTCGCGCAAGCAGGCGAAATCGATGTTGCAGCCTCTCAGGTGGAGTTCCTGCAGGGACGAGAGATTCGAGAGGCACTGTCGCAAATGCGCGCCCGCCGTCGACAGAACGATGCCCGACAATTGCAACAGTTTCATGTTCTTCTGGTACTCCAGAGTCCTTAACAACGGCACCAGCAGCAGCTCCTCGTCCACGTCGTCGGCTCTCACGCGAAACAGGGACGTGTTTTCGCAGGATCTCAAACACTTCAGCATGACCTCGCAGGGAGTTACGTTGCCTGTGCTACATATCGTCCTGTATCGCTCGACGATGGATGGGACCTGCAGCTCGGCTATCTCGCATTCCAGCCTGCCGACATTCGCGTCATTCGTTCCCTCCCTCGCCATTCTCAAGACGCTCTCCTTCGTCACGACCGAACTGCCGTTTAACGGGCGCAACGTCAGCTTCGCCGTGCAACCGGTCTCGCTGAAGAACGCGCGTTCGGCCGCACTCACGACGCACACGAGGAACTCCGTCTCGTCTTCGCACGCGTCCACCTTCACCTCGAACACCTTGTCCGTCACGAGTACGCTCAAATCCACGTGTTCTCTGCAGGACCGTTTCGAACTCGCCGATGTGCGCAGGGACGATTGTAAGTCGTGCATCGGGGATGGCGTACGGGAGACGGTGAAGCCGTTCGACAACAAGGACACCTGCCGTTTCTTCTCTCTCCTCTTGGCTTCCTCAAGTACTTCGATCACTCCAGTGGCAAGAGTGCTGTCGTCACTCTCCTCGCTCGTGCTGCGGAGATCCTCGTCGCTCTCGACGGTACTGTTCAATCTTTTCAGCCTCTTCGAAGTGCTTTCCGTGCTGTTATCGGCGGACTTTCTCTTGCATGCAGCGACGTGCCTGCTCGACTTGGATCTCTTCCTCGCTGTGTTCTCTACTGCCATGTCGTCCTCGAGCCAATCGTCCATGAGAACTTGTTCTTCGTTGACCAGAGGCGCGACCTCCTCGTCGTTGCCGCTCTTCCCGGGCGCGTTGATCTTCTTGGTCTTGTTGAAGGTCCTCAGACTGGCTATCGTCCTCTTGTAGTCTTCACCAGCGGATATCTTCTGGGCCTCGGGCTGCACGAGCTTCCTGTCCGACGCATAGACACTCTCGGATTTCCTCCTCCTTTTTCTGGAGCTGACGATCACACCGGATAACTTCCTGCGCATCGTGTCGTACTCGAGCTGGTCTTCAGGGCTGAGGTCGGCCACGCGATCCCTCCAATCCTCCAGGCAGTCCAACACCGTGTCGCCGTCGTGGGTCTTGAGCGTCAGGTTCGCGCCGTGTTGCATCAGTAACTGCATCATAGAGAAGTGTCCGCAAGACGCGGCGTCGTGGAGCGGCGTGACGCCCTTGCAGGACGCGCCGCCCGGGTCGTTGACGTTGGCGTCGTGCTTCAGCAGCGCTTCCGCGACCTCCACGTGACCGTGATTCGCGGCTTCGTGGAGCGGCGACCAGCCGCAGTGGTCCCTGACATTGGTCGGGTGACCGGACGACAAGAGCCTCTCGACGGTGTCGACGTCGCCGTTGATGCATGCCACGTGCAGCTGCGTCTCGCCCTTCTCGTTCCTCCTGATCGCGGCCGCTCTCTTCTCCCTTCTTCGAGAGGCCCTGCTAGTGACGTTCTCTTCGATCTCCAGGTCGGACAAGTCCTCCAGACAGATGTCCGCGCCGATCTGCTCGCTCCCTTCGCTCTCCGTGTCGCTCGACGTCTCCGAGGTCGCCGGCAGACCCGCAGTCCGGCGCGCGTCCTCCGCCTCGTCAAATCGGCCCACGCTGTTCAGGTAAGCGACGTATTCCTTGGCGGTGGACCTTCGCAGCCTCGTATCACCGGCCTCGTCCGCCAAGCGCAACGCCTCGACGTAGCACTCCCGGATCTCCGGAGTTTCGGCGGCGTCGCCCATCGCCAGCAGGTCCGCCAGGAAGAGCGACGACTTGCACTTCTCTCGTGGGTTACCGGCCCACAGCTCGAACTCTCGTCGCGCGTAAGGCAGCGCTTCCTCGCACCGTCCCGCGTCTTTGAGGGTCTGCGCCAGGCTGGAAAGGGCGGCGGCCACCTGCTCGCCCGTCTCCTCCGCGCAGCTCAGCATCTGCCGGTAATAATCGGCGCCTTTGTCGTAGCATTGCACGGCCACTGCCGCGTCGCCCAACGTCTCGTACAGCTTCTGCTTAACCAGCGCGTCGGTCTCGACGAGCAGACCGTTCTCCGCCCGGCACAGAGTCACGACGATTCTCAGGTACTTCTCCACCTGACAATTGACATCCCCCGGCAGTCCACTGCTCGTGTACAAGGCGACGAGTATCCGGCGCGCTCTGATCCACTGGCCGGATTGCAAGAATAGTTCGGCCTTGAATATCTTCGCTTTGGCCCTCAAGCACGGGTCCTTCACCGTGGACGCGGTCTCGAAGTAGTTCAACGCCAGCTCGAGGTCGCCTTGTCGCTCGTATATGCCTGCCAAGGAGATGCACGTACGGTACAGGTCCTCTTGAATATTGTTGGACACGCACAGCGCGGTGGCCTGTTCGATCAAGTCGATCGCCTGCCGCGTCTCCTTCTGCGCCTCCAGCGTCAGTCCCAAGTTGAGCAGCAGTCTCGCCCGCATCTGCGTTCTCTCCTCCAACCTGATGTCCACGCCCGTCAACTGATCGCACAGCTCCATGCTCTTTACAAAGGCAGTTTTCGCACTCGCCAAAGCCTCGTCCCGTTTCCGCGATTCACTCGATAGGCTCTCAGCCAGGCAGAGGTGAGTCCGTCCCAAGGTAGCAAACGCACGCTGCTGCTCGATCAGGTTCTTCATGTCCCTGGCGCCTTCCAAGTGCTGCTTTTGGTGGGTCAGAGCCTGCTCGTAATCTCCCAAGCTCACGTGAGCCTCTCCTATCATCCTGTGCGCTATTGCGCAGCTCAATTTGTCCCCGAGATCCTCGCAGATGCATAACTGCTCCGTGTATTCTTGCAGTGCCTCTTTTGGTCGTTCGTTCTCAAGGTAGAAGTCTCCGAGAGTTTTCGTGATTTCCGCCAACTGCCGGGTATTGTTGTCACGTCTGGCGTGTTGTTTCCTCTTGATGAGTTTGTCGATGTTCATATTAACAATTACCAACAATTGATGTATTTGCGAGATGAACACAGGCTCGGTCACCTTCATCACCTAGAAGAGTGACGATGATATCAGAGTCAATGGAATAGTGATCATTTAATTTAAATGTTGCTTTTGACGATGTAATGTGTTTGACATTTTTCTCGATGAAACACTCGATGTAAAGAGATTCAATATAGAGAAACTTCGTTCATGGAAAAACCAAGTTAGATTAGGTTGGGTAGGTTTGTAAAATTTGGCGCTAGCCTGAAACAGCTGATGCATTTATTAGGGTTATATGTACCTTCTTCCACGCACGATTTGCGCTGCCTTACGCGCTGTTATCCATTGTTGAATTGAACAATTAAGAAAACATAAAAATACAAGTACTCTAGTATGTCGCTCGGCCCGCACTACCTGGAAATAAAGAGTTTGATACACACGCGCACACGCTTATAACAAGTACTATCGAACTAAATTAAAAAGAACTTTCAACCTGTTGTTAAATTGTATTAGTTAAAAGTAAAAAGTTCTTTTACTTGTGAATCTTCTATTGGTCAACAAAAGGAAAGTCGGTTAACTTGCTATTAACTCTTACTACTTAAAAATTCTTCTAAAATAAGTCCATCTAACATGTCAGTGACTTCTACTACGACCTCGTTTCTAAAGGTGGCGCCAACTAGTGTCAGAAATTAACGTTTTTTAGTTCCGAAGTACTCGCTACGAGTCGCCGTAGGGGCCGAGATAGTGAGAAATCACTAAACGATAAATCAGGCGTACCGATAATATTTTCAAATAGTACAGCAGATTAGTCAAAAACTTTTTATCTTTAAACAGCGCATTTGCAAAACTCTTCATAAAGTTTCGTTTTTCTAATTAAGCGCTTTGGGATGAATGTATCATATTTCACACACTCGTGACCTACACAGCAAAAAAAGAAGAAACACAAATTTCACTTTGCCACACACTCAGTAAAGACTTATTTCATTTAGCGGAAAATAAAGAAATTTATTTTATGCTATTCAATTCTTTTTTATTTACTTTTGTTATTACAACTAAAAGAGGCGTTGTTTTCTACTTATCATTTCTCCTTTTTAGAGAACTTTGTGAGAACGTATCATTGAGTATATATTTTATCTAATCGTTGTCAATTAAATGAATAACATACACGCTGCAGTTTCTACCTGTTTGCAGATAGCCAATCAACTGTTAACAATGACCGGCAGATTGTACAATAACACACCCAGAGAATCTTTTACAACATTTCTGGCAGCATAAAATATTTTACGATATTTAATCGGTAAAGTACATAGTACTTACATCGGTAAGTACAAGTACTAGTATAGTTTCTCCGTTATGTATTTATGTATTTACATAATATTTCGCTGTTCATGTCTATTTCTGTTTCCACGAAAGATTAGCGAGGCCAAAATAGCCCGGCCAAGTCAAGATAAGTCGATAATTGCTGATAATTGCGTACCGCGAACGCGAAAATTAATATTCATGTAGCCACGTTGAGTCCTTTTGCGGACGAATGAAACACAATAATGGATCAAAGGTCTTTTCTACGTATATATAACCGTCGGAGATTGAGATCGCAAAGAGTTGAACCGGTTTCACTCCTTATCGCGAAAGGAAAGAGCGTGTCGTAATATAATCTAAAATATGCCCAGATAACACAAGATATCCCAAAATTATTCGGAGTGCGTTCGGGATACTCTTATAGGAGTATCTTAGGACGTTCTGAGCATATTCAAGATGATGGGGGACTCGGAACATTTTACGCGGGAAAACACGCGTTCGACAATCTCGATATTCCTCGTCGTGACACCCGTTAATCTTTCCCAGAGAGCTCATTATGTTTTTTTCGCAGTCGCTTTCTCATTTTGTCGTCGATCTTTTCCTCCTTCCATCTTCCATCGAAGTCACCGGTTTCTCTCTCTCTCTCTCTCTCTCGAGCTCGACGAACTTCTGACTTTTTCCCCCGCAGCCTACTTGCGACAATCTCGCGTCAAACATCTCTCCGTCAAATATTGGCGATTTATACATATCTGTCTTCCCTTTGCCTGCCGCCTCCTTTCGTTCTCTCGAGCTAAATCGCGATGATATATAACGAAAGAGCATAGCGTAAGCCGGGTCAGTATCACTCACACACGCCACTGTCCAGTTGCCACGTGTTACGTGCTCGACTCTTTTCCATTTTCATCGCAACCGCGCGTTGTCCTGCGAGATGTCTCGCGGAATTTCGCACGTCGGCGTCAATTTCCAACACCGGGAAGAGCAACCGCGCGCGCACAATGCAAGTATTTCTATTTGTTTCCGGCGATTTTACATAATCAAGCATTTCATTATTTAATTCGTTGTTTTATTGAAACGCCTAAATTATCTTCGAGCTCATCTTCGAGATATTCGATAACGTCACTGCGTTCAATTAGTACTACCCGTTCCATAGGTGTTTACATTTTTTTTTTTCTTTCAAAATACAATACGCAGAGAGAAACTCGAATAAGTGAAATCTTGGTTGAAGATGTTCGTTTTCATGGATAAAAATCTTCGATGATTAATTTACTATATTTACTATATTTGCTATATTTATATTTGAATTCGATTCATTACGGACGAATGATGCAATGACAGATAGCGTTAGGGAGTAAAGCGTGTCATCGAGTAATGAGAGCAAATCGACATGCGATCACGAGCCGATCGCACATCCGCGAACGATGGATTACGCAAAATACCATTCCAGACACGGAGGCGATACACCTTCGAAGTCACGCGCGCCTGTTTGAAACTTCCACTTCCTGAATTCGCTTCGCTCCGCTGCACGATTATATCGTGCAAAACGTGACAAATGCACGAGCGGCGAATGCAAATTCGAATCGTTCATTGTCAAACATTCGTCTTAACGCACACATAACTGCATGACAGAAAAATATCGTGATGAAAGATAGCCGGGGAGATAAAAATTATATAATCTCGTCGTATTGCAGAAAAAATAACGATAAGATAAATTTATTAATATGCCGGCATGTCTACATCGAGCGACCTTGGTTAATATATGAGATATGATAAGTAACGCGCTCGGAGCGCGCTCGATGAGCGGAATTCGAATATTTATCCGTGTGTGAGCGCGTGCGCGCGCGCTCACGTCGCGCGGCAAGCTCCGAGTCCTTCCGGTATGTTTGCGCCGGTGCGATGAAAGTGACTTTCTTCGTACTTTCTCGCGCGTTTAGCTTCGCGCGCGAGATGCCGGTTGTCCGTAGTTGATCGCGCGCGGCCGTGCGCGCACGTCGATCCACCGACCTCCGAACGAAAGGCACGAAGGCGGATCTCGATGTAAAGTCAACATTAATTCTCCCCCGAGTCGAGTCTCGGTATCGCGGAATAATCCGGACGGACGTGAACGCGTGTACGTGAATCGCAATTGCACGAGGAAAGTTCTTGTAACGAGGGAAAGAGAGAGTTCATTGATCAATCGAGAGCCGAACGAGCGGAGCGAAATGGGAATCTTCGCGCGGCCGATTTTGCGTATTCCGAGCGCGTCGAGAGAGGTGAGACAACAAAGTCTCGTAATAATGAAAATATCGGGAAGAGGGGGGATGAATTAGTAATCGAGTTAACAGACGATAGATATCACACACAGTTAGTTAGCTTTCCATTTAGCATCGCGGAGATAACGAATAATCGGTTAAGTTGAGCGTTATGCGAGAAAACATGTTCTGAACGCAGGCGGTAGCGACGAACGTGACGTCGCAGGCGCATCATGTGTCCAGGAAGAAACGAGGTCAAGCGATCGGCTCGGTCGGAGGATTTCGCGGATGCACGATCTGGATGACCGGGCTGTCCGGCGCCGGCAAGACCTCCATCTCCTTCCAACTCGAGGAATACCTCGTCTCTCGGGTATGTTACGACGACGCTGCCTCCCTTGTTCTTCTTATCGCTCTGTTTACAACCTTCGCTCAACGACAAGTCCTTCCTCGGTAAATGTCAAATGAGAGTAACGTTATATCGACGTGATGAATTTCGGATGGACTTTCACCAAAGTCCGGATTTATACTCATCGGCGACTTAAAATTGCTGTTGTCAATAAAGCGTCGCCCGTTGTCTGTCCTGCTGACACAGATAGAAATGATTAACTTTTCGATTATCGTTGAATTACAAGTCACGGACGTGGAGGTTGTTGTTTGTAATTCTCCGCGTTCAGCGGAACGTATCTTACAACGTGTTGAGAATTTTATGAGCTGAGATTGGATTATTCTTTCAGATACAGAGAGATAATCCGATCTTAGGGGATTTTCAGCAATTGTAAAATGAACGTTTCGCTGAACGCGGCCGTTATTATCCATCGATTAGTCTAATCGGTTTGAGAGTCAGCCTTACGAACGAACGTTAATTTCCGCTCAATAATGTAAGCGCAATATATGACGCGTAACAGTCGCATGTTTTCCACCTAACAATTACGTTGTAGAGCGGAAAATCGCAACATCGATGTTACCGTTACTCGATATATTTACCGAACGTTCCCGATCGTTCGTGCAGGGGATCCCCGCGTACAGTCTGGACGGCGACAACATACGCACCGGCCTGAACCGTAATCTCGGCTTTAGCAAGGAGGACCGCGAGGAGAACGTGCGTCGCGTCGCCGAAGTCGCGCGGCTCTTCGCCGACGGCGGCGTGATCGCCCTCTGCAGCTTCGTGTCGCCGTTCGCGACGGACCGGCGAATGGCCCGCGAGATCCACGAGAAGGCCGATCTGCCGTTCTTCGAGGTGTTCGTCGAGGCGTCCCTCCAGGTGTGCGAGAGCCGGGACGTAAAGGGCCTCTACAAGAAGGCGCGTCAGGGTATCATCAGGGGCTTCACCGGGATCGACCAAAGTTACGACGTGCCGACCGAGCCCGACCTCGTCGTCAACACGGAGAACGCGAGCGTCCAGCAATCCACCGACCGCGTCGTTGACTTTCTCCAGAGCAAACTAATCATACCGGGATCCTGCGACGGTCTCGCGCAGCCTCTCGAGGAGCTCTTCGTGAGCGACGACCGATTGACGGACGTGCGGAGGGAAATCGCCGGAGATTGCCCGGCCTTGGAAATCGGCGAGGTGGATGTTCAGTGGCTGCAGGTCCTCGCTGAGGGATGGGCCGCGCCTTTGAAAGGATTCATGAGGGAGGACGAGTACCTTCAGGTTAAGCTTCAAGCCTACTTCATCAACTAGCTACGTCTCTGACGCGAAATCACTTACGGCGAAAGAAATCCCAGTTCCTGCAACTGGGACACGGACGACCGGATGAAAAGTCAATGACACACGGGAGAAACGGTTTCGTCGAACTTGGCCGGAATTGGACAAACCGAGCGGTATTTTGGTGGAAGGGACGAAATTCCCGGTTACAAGAACGAAATTTGACTCATAAGAACCGGGGATTCCCTTCAGCCGGAACGCGTTTGGTTTCGTCCAATTTGCGGGACAAATTCGACTAATCCGGTTTGTTCCCGCGTAAGAGATGAAACCTCGGTGACGAGAAATGATATCGTTACCGCGACTGACAACGCTCGTGTGATCATTCTGGCTGCGTTAAAACTCGCCTGACACAACTGAGAACAATTGACTCGGTGGTAATCTCCTATGGGTATCTTTCTCTTTCCACGAGATTTCATCTCCAGTCCCCGGGATGCAACGGAACTGTTTCTTCCGTCGCAACGTCGACGTGATGTTACCGTTGCTCGATGTTTACCGGTCGTTGCTGGTCGTTCGCCCACGAAAGCGCGGAATTCAACGAAATTAAAACCTGAGCTCACGGTAAGTCCTCGAAATAAGTGTCTTATAATTCGCCTTCCTGTTCTCATGCAGACACTGCACTTCAATTGTCTGTACGAGGACGGTGCCGCGATCAACCAGTCGATCCCCATCGTCCTCGCCGTGAGAGCCGACGATAAGGAGCGCTGTTCCGGCTCGGAAATCCTCGTTCTCCGGTACCGGGGCAAGGACCTGGCGGTGCTGCGCAAGCCGGAGTTTTACCACCATCGCAAAGAGGAACGCTGCTGCCGCCAATTCGGCACGAGCGACCCCGGACACCCTTACGTTAAAATGATCTTGGAGTCGGCCGGGGATTGGCTGGTCGGCGGCGATCTGGAGGTCCTCGAGAGGATCCGCTGGAACGACGGGCTGGACCGTTACAGGCTCACGCCTAATGAGATCAAGGCCAGGTGCCGGGAAATGGGTGCCGACGCGGTTTTCGCCTTCCAGCTGCGAAATCCGATACACAACGGGCATGCGTTGCTAATGCAGGTTTGGCGGCGATCTCTTGTTTCGAGATATCACGTTGCCGGAGAGTTTCTTTCCGTTGTGTATTTCAGGACACCAGAAGACGCCTCCTCGAGGAACGTGGCTTCAAGAAACCGGTGCTTCTCCTGCATCCTCTCGGCGGATGGACCAAGGACGACGATGTTCCGCTGCCGGTCAGAATTCGGCAGCACGAAGCCGTTCTCGAGGAAGGTGTCCTCCATGAGGACACCATTCTCGCTGTCTTTCCCAGTCCCATGTGTTACGCCGGTCCTACGGAGGTAACGCTCGTTTCAGTCGTCCTGTGAAAGCCTCACGCGCAGTGAACGAACCGTGCTTTAACGCTCCGCTGATTCACGCTTCAGGTGCAATGGCACGCGAAAAGTCGCATGATAGCCGGCGCGAACTTTTACATCGTCGGCAGAGACCCCGCAGGCGTTCCTCATCCTGACAAGTCCGCCACACCGGACGGCAATCTGTACGACGGCACTCACGGCGCGCGCGTCCTCTCGATGGCGCCGGGTTTGCAGGATCTCGAGATCCTCCCCTTCAAGGTGGCCGCTTACGACACCAGAACGAAGAGTATGTCCTTCTTCGAGGCTGAACGTCAGCAAGACTTTGTCTTCATCTCCGGCACCAAGATGCGAGGTAAATGCCTCCTCCCCCCTCCCCCTCCGTTTCCATCCGTGCCTCAGAAAACGTTTCTAATCCCATTTTCAATCCTCTAATGCTACCTCCCCCCTGTGTCAGGTTTTGCCAGAAACGGCGAGGATCCTCCGAAAGGCTTCATGGCGCCGAAAGCGTGGAAGGTCATCGCGGAATATTATCAAACGGCACACACGCAGGAGAAATAGGTTAATAGTAACGCTGGAGGATGAATGATATAATAATATTAATAAATACATAATGCTTGAAGAATATACGGTGTATATAAAATGAGACACAGAGACGTCATGTATAATACAACAGATACCGTGTATAATAACATTAAGAATTTTACTAATTGAGGCGGTAGGTAATAAAGCAAAATAAATATGGGAATCACTGGGACGAGTGGAATCTCTGATCGATAAGCAAGCTACCGTGAAGTCGCAGAGATGACGAAGGAAGAACTTGCATGTCGTCGCTAATCTAATACCTCTGGTATATCTTTATTTATTGCATCGAATGACATGGAAGGACATTTGGTAGCTTAAATATACTTGACGATCAGCCGAGAATCGGCGATGGAAAGAATTCTGCCACTTAATCCGGTACATCTGCAATACCACATCGTGTCATTTTCTTAAAAGGAACGTTTGAACTTTCTATACTCTAACTGTCGTAAATAAAGAAGCCAAGTCCTAAATTCGTCGCAGTAAATAATTTACATTATCTCTATTCGCCGGGGAACAAGACGCTGTAATGAAAGAAAGATGCGCTCACCCTCTTCAGAATCGGATATCCGAGTAGCTTGAAGCGAGCTTTGTTTCGTCAACGTTCGTGCTAGGCCTCGTGGTCTCGGCGGCGGCGACTGCTTGTTCCAAAGCGCCTCCAATTGGTCAAAGTGCTGGGACTGGGCCAAAGCGGCTTGCTCGGGACCCAGCCCGGACTGCGAGCCGCCCAGGTCCGCCTTGCTGATTTCTTCCATCGATGCGCTCACGCTGAAGCGACGTTTCAGACGCTCCTCGACGCTCGACACTATGATACCTGGAGGTGTACACACGAAATAACTGTATCGTCGCATATTGCACGCGTATCAGTCCCGAATCAGATACGATGAGAGTCTGGTGCGAGGGTGTTCTGAAGTTGCGTAAAATCGAGACGCCGCGCATACCTGAGGTAAGATGCCCGTATTTTCGTTGCCAAGTGTACGTATCCAGAGACACCTCCTTCTTCAGCAACCGCTTGGCCGGTCGTTTCGGTCCCGGTGGTCTCAGATCACGCGGCGCCACGTACGGCGGCAGTTTGACGTACTGCGCGGGCGTGTTGTGCAGACAGAGAATGGGCATGCACTTGTGCTCCAACAAGTGCACCGCCATTCTGGAACAATCGGTGGATATCTCGACGCCCAATACCGGCACGTGCAGCATGATGGAGCTGAGCGAGCTGCCCTTTTTGGTGTCCCAGACAATGAGACTCTTGTCCTCGCTCCCGGAGGCGGCTAGAGTGCCGTCGCCTGAGAGCCGCACGCAGGTCACGTAACCCAGGTGGCCCGTGAGAGTGTGCAGGTCGGCCCCGGTGTTGATGTCCCAGACGATCAAGTTGGCGTCCCGCGAGCCGGACACCACTATGGACTTGTCGAGCACGGCGACCGCCACGCAGGTCACATGGTCGGTGTGGCCGACCAAGACCTGGGACAGTTTGCCGCCGGCCAATTGCCACACCTTCAGGCTCATGTCGCGGGAACCGGTGATCAGGTACTGAGAGTCCGGCGTCGCTACCAAGCATGTGATGTCCTGCGAGTGCGACACCTGATGTTTCTCTTCGGGGCCGACACCCAAGCTGATGATGCGCACCTGGTTGTCGTCGGACCCGCACACCGCGTACCTGGAGTGGCGGATCGGTCGAACCGTGAGGTCGTGTCAGTACAAATTGTTCTTGAAATAGAGAGCGATCAGAGCTCGGAGATACGTGGAAATACGAAGAACGAGTCTAAGAGAGGGGGTAGAGGGATCGAAAATGTTGGAGAAGAAAGAACTCGCACGCGTTGCCTCCCTTACGCTTTACCTCATATCAGACGCGACAGCGAAGCATCGCCCGGGCCCGCAAACAGACTGTATCAGTGTGCCACTGTCTGCCGCCCAGACCCTGATGATACCAGCCCGATCTGAACTGACCACTCTCCTTCCATCTAGCATAGCAGTGACGGCGGTTACCGGCGCCTGATGCCTGAAAGTGGCCACGACGAGGCCCAGAGTCAACCCCCACACACGTACTGTCTTATCTTCAGATCCTGGAGAAATGAAGAAAAAAAAAAATATATATATATATATATATTTATTTATTTATTATCATTCGACATATTATAAAAGCACGAGTGTTAGGACCGATTGTCGATTCATCAGGATATGTACCAGACGCGACGAAGAGCCCCGACGCGGAGAAAGCGATGCACGTGACGCTGGCGATATGCCCCTCCAAGGTGGACAACAATTCGTGAGTGTTGAGCTGCCACAGATTGACCAGAGAATCGACGCCGCCAGTGACAGCCATGGCGCCGTCCCTGGAGATGTCCAGGCAGGATATCGGCGCGGTATGCGTTTGCAGGGAGTCCTGTTTGCCGGGTTTTTGCGGCTTCGGCGGCGGTTCCTCACCGCGGAAGCTCCAGTAGGTCACACGACCTCCTCCGCCGGTTATCAGGAAGTCGTCTTTCTCAGTCACCTATGCGAGAATCGAGAAGAGCACAAATAAGGACCCGCCCTTATGTTTCTCGTTTCACTCCTACCTTAACTGAAGTGACGCTCGTCGACGGATTAGCGGGCAAAGTTTTAATCAATCTTCCGCTGTGCATATCGAACACGGATACTCTGCCCTCGGTGCCTCCTGCGATAGCTCTTCTACAGTCCTTCGCCAGACAGAGGCTCTTCACCGGGCCCTGATGCCCTCTAAGCGTGTGAATCTCCGTGCCTGTCGCCAAGGACCTTAAGTAGAGCTTCTGATCCTCGCAGGCGGTTAGGAGGAAAACCGAGTCAGCGGACACGTCCAGCATGATCACCGGAGACGGAAGAACGATGCTGTTGAGGAGGGTGAAGCTCTCCAAGGACCAGAGGCACACCGTGCCGTCGGACGATCCGGAGACCAGGACTTCCCCGGCTGAATTGACGCGAATAGTGGTGACAGGGCCGCGATGATGGTCGACCTTCATCAGGACCTCGCCGGTGAGCAAACTGGTGGCGATGATTCGGGAATCTTCGCCGCCGCTCACGATGACCGAGTTGTTGAGGGCCGTGGTCAAGGTAAGGACAGGCGCGATGTGCTCGCAAATCCGTCGTTTCATTACGAGCTCCTTCATGTCCCAGACGATGATGGAAGTGTCCTCGGAGCCTGTTAGCAGGTACTGAGACTGATGGGTGACGGCTAAACATGAGATCGGGCTGGAGTGTCCTGGGGTAAGAATTAAAGAGAAATATTAATTAGTTCCCGTGACGCGCAAAAGCAGGTCGAAGTAAAGGAGGGAAATCTTCCGAAAATAATCTGTCAATTTATTATTGCTAAGCCACCGTCGTGCGCTCTTTCCTTACCCTTGAACGTATGAACGAGTTGACCAGACATGACGTGCCATAACTGAGCATCACCCTGCGGCGGCACGACGACGACGTGCTGGCCGGACGGTGCCGCTTCGATCAGCTTGACCCCCTGGGGACACGTAAGCACCCGTATCTGCAAGGGCAGAGGCGGCTGCAGCCACCCATTCAAGGGCACGAGCAAAGGCGCGGTGTAACCGTCGCACCAAGCCATAGCCGCCATGACCATTCTACTAACCTTGAAAGAGTGAGTTGAATCAGACTTTCTTTCTATCTCCGGAGACCAGAGATCGATGCCGTTATCGATAGAGGACTAAAGAAACTCACGAGGTCACCGCCGTCCTCGGCGACCGGCCTTAACCAGCAGATCAGCTGGGCGGCGAGCTGAAGCGGATCCCTAGTGAGAACGTCGCTGGACTTCCTCACGGCGTAATACACGAGCTCCAGGTCACGCTCGAGCAGGTACCGTCTCGCGTGCTCGAGGACGCAACGGAGGTAGCTCACGGAGATCATCTGTACGGCCGCGAGGAGGAAGTCGAACGCGCATACAGCGAGCTTCTTCAGCTTGTCGACGTCGGAGGCGCGCAGGAGGTGTAACCACGCTTCCTCGACGTGTCGCAGCGTATACGTGATGTCCTGGCTCCGCGGCGCGCTTTGAAACGGCGTTTCCTTGACGGGCGGCGACGAGGCCGCTGGATTCTCCGTCGATTCTTTGTCCGAGCTGTCGTCGGCGTCCTCGGAGAAGAAGAGACTGGCTAACTCCGTGTAGCAGCCGCGGGAAATATCCTGATTCGAAAGGTACTTCCTGAGAGCAATCTCGCGACACTGCCCGCGCCAGGAGAACAGCAATCTTCCGCTCATCACTCGCACCTGCAACAACGTTCGATAAAATTGCGACAACACCGGTCAACGGATTCCGATAACACATACTGCATCCATTTTGAATTTCAATTGGGAAAACGAGAAATTCAAACACATGTCTCATTCGTAGACTCTTACAGGACCGCCGTACGTACTGCTTCGAAAAGGATTACTTTTAAAAGAAATTGATTCGAGGATATTTCCTCTCCTCCACACCGCAAAAGCTTCAAATATCAAAATCCCCCTGGATTGTACCGCATGATGGGAATCAGAGCTAAATCCGTTGCCTGATCGAAATCTAGAGTTTAATCGCAATCAAATTACTACGCTCACCCTGAGCCACGGCGCGAACGACCTTCTGACCAGGCACCAAGTCGCGAAGTTGAAGTGGCTCTCCTCCAGGAGTAACGGCCCTTCCCCGCCGGTCGGCATGATCAGCTCGAGCATCTCCGTCTCCGACAGACCGTACTCGGTGCAAGCGAGCACCGAGGCGATTCGCGTGGCCGCGTCGAGCCCGATCAGGCTCTCGAGCTGCTCCAGAGTCGCGTCGACGCGCGGTGACGCGCAGGCGCGCCCGGTGGTGAGGTCGACGAGGACGTCGACGGCACGCAGACGGTCCTTCTGAAGCGGCGTGAGACGCATCCCCTCAGGCGGCAGCGCGGTAGTCGCGATGAAGTGGACGCCCGCGGGAAGCGTGAGCGGCAACCACGAGAGGGCGGCGACGATGTCACATTCGAGCGGGTGGAAGCGATGGAGGTCGTCGAACAGGATGACCAACTGGTCCGGCAGCGGATGCTCCTCGATGCGGCGCATGATGAGACTGAACCAGTTGTTGAGATAGAGCGGATCAAAGGAGGCGTCGCGCGGCAGATTGCCGTCGTTGTCACCGGCGAGGAAGCCGACGTGCTGGCAGAGGATCCGGAGGAGCTCCAGGCTGTAGGCGGAGCGTGGCGTCGAGGCGCATAGTCGGACGACGCGGAGGGTCGGCGTCGCGAACCAGCCGGGCGAATCCTGGTAGATACGCGCGAGGATGGAGGACTTGCCGGACGACTTCGGCCCGTAGATCAGGATGGGCCCGTGCTTGTGATCCTTGCCTGCGCAGGGATACGTTGACACACTGTTAACCGTGCGAGTTGCGGCGCTTCAGCCGCTCGTTCCCTCATGAAATGCGTCGACATAATTTTAACTGGGACTTTTGCGTAACTCGGTGTAATTTGGGATTAGTTAATATCGTGAAATCTGAAAAGAAAACCGACTCCACCGTCGCTCAGGGAGAAACGAGAAACCATACCGATCGTTCAATCAACGATCCATCGTGGAATCGAGCACACCTATCCGAGTGGTCGATAATACGTGTCGAGGATGTACGATCAACTTGAAATTTACATTAGCTCTGTAGACTGCGGCCTAAAAATGAACAGGTCTTTAGAGTCTAATCGCAGCTGTTGTCGCGATATGATACTTCTAATTTTACTTTTATTATTTAATTTTTCTTTTTATATCCTCCCGCAAAATTACAACTATTATAACGAAATATAAATATCTCATAAAGGCCCGTTCTGAGGAAATACAATCATCCTGTCTGTACATTCCGGACGGGAAAGTCATGGATTTGTTTTCGGAAGCAGAAACGCACCCGCAAGGATAAGCTGCTTGACTCGCTCCACAGCCTCGTCGCCCACGTCGGCCAACGGTAATTGCCGGAGAAGCGCGAAATGCGCCATACTCTCGGCGTAGACCTCCTGCACCATCTTCTTGCGGCTCTTGATCTCCGGGTCGGCCTCGACAGACATGTTCACCAATTGCTGGAGCCTGTCCAGTATCAGATGGCGGAATTTGCCGAGATAATCCTCGTGGCTGTCATAATCGGCGTCGATATCGCCGTTGCGGTACTCCACGGGCAAACGCAAAACGTTGTCGTGAGGTAAGACCGTCTCGATGCGAGTCTCCAGTCTCTTAGCCGCTGGTGCACACGTAGGCGCATCGCCGCCTGTCCACTCGCGGATCACGGCCATTATTCCTAAGCCCTGCTGGTCCAGACCTGACGGGATGAACACGTTGACGATTTATCACTGACGTTGCATCGCAACATTAATTATACATAAAAAAAGAAACACCAGAACGAAACTAGACGTTTCCCGTAGTTCTTTGAATGCTGAATATCAATCCGGTTTCCAGATTGTCCATCTCCATCACGTCACGATTTTGAGAAATTTGTAGAAGCTGCAGAAAGGGGCTATTTTCACATATTTTAGTCATTATATATGACATGCTGGAGAAGTTTCGTCGCAACCAAAATTAAGTATGTTATTAGGACTTTCAGCCCTCGAAGGGAATTATTAGCGTTATTACACGTGTCCTTTCGGTGTTTCTATTTCCGCATCGTGACGCGAGGCTCTCGGCAAGCTCGTTATAACGAGCTAACACACTCGCACGCGTATTATACTCTCGAAATTCTTTGGAATGAAATTTCGCTCGAAGCAGAATAACCACCGAGTCACTCGAATTCGAGTGACTTTTCAATCATTTCGAGTGAATTCTTCATTCTGAACCGTCCAGTGAATATTTTCACTCGGAATTGAAAAGCGAATCTGATATATATATATATATACATATATATATATGTTTTGTAGTCGCAGGGATATATTTAATCCAATCGATTGACACATCCGCTAATATGGAGTCAGAACCTACTCTAAGCTCGAGTGAAACATTCACTTTCGTGATTTCGAGTGGCGGTATTTTCATTGTCGCTTCGAGCTAAAATACTGCCGCTTTTCACTTGTTTTGAATAAGATTCCACTACGAGAAATTTAAAGAGTCAGCGTCATGTATGCTGCGTATTCCATTCCCTAGACGGGAAATTCTACGATTTTTAGCTTCGTACGTGATCCATAATCGTTGAAAATCGCACAGGCAATTCTAATTATAATTATAGAATCGTAACGGCGGAAAATCATATAATTTTCGTTTCCAGAGAACGAAAATGCAGCGTACACGACGCCGACTGTACGTTTGCAACTCGCATCGATCGTTCGTTAATTAACACGTACAACGCGCACAGAGGTATTAGCAATAACAATTGCCCGGTAGATTGTCCAGCTCGGATTGAGTGATTAGCGAGAATAAATTGTCGCTTGCCGCAATTAAATCTCCAGGCCGGGGAAGGGAGAATTAACGGACAAAGCGCTTCGATTTCCAGTGCCTTTGCGTTCTTTGTTAAAACGCACAATGCGATTGCGTCATATTTTACATGTGAATAGAGGCGACGCGCGACCGTACGGAGAATAATTTAAGCGACACGTTTGACCCAGAAGGGATCCTCCTATTTCTGGCGGACGAGGCTCGATAGGCCATGCCAAGTACGATGTCAGGAATTCATCAAATATTGACAGCGACGGAGACGGCGGCGGCGCCGCCATCGGTATCCCGATTTGCATTCTGTTACTTATTTACAAACTTGCTGGAGCACGACGTGCATGAATTGTCACGTACATATTCGAGTCGCAACGGTTCGCAATCGCCGGCTACAGTCTCGCGATCTTCAATATCCGACAAAGGGGAAACATCCGGGACGTTGGCGCGGCTCCGGCGAGTCTTACAGCGAGCTCGAACATTCGCGTTCGACACCGAATTGGCGCTGAAGGTCGTTATACATGAGGCGGTTATTTAAATAAAAAGCATATGAACATTTTGAACGATTGGATACTTAATAATGACGACTGCCACGTTATTTAGTAGAATTCACATTAATCGTTTTATCGTCCAACCGCTTATATTACGCAATTGCATTTGGATACTTCACACGTAGCGGCCTTTATTCAGGCAGAACCGAAAATTATCGAGAAAAGTGAGTTTTTCTCTTTTAATTTTTTGTCGTTCGCGCCATTTTAATGTCATCGTGATTTTCTGTCCTTTCCTTTCTACCCGGATAGTCCGCACTGAACCGATGACGTAGTGTGGATGATCGAATTCGCTGTTAAATTCTGACACTCACTCAGACCGTGTTCCAGCTGTCGTTCCGCCGTGCTCTTCAATACATAACTCAGTTCTTGGTTCTCCGGTTGTTCCAGGATCGCCGCCTCCGCAGCGGTTTTCAGCGCCTGACGCAACTCCGGTTCTTCGTTCTTCTGCCATTCGCGCTGAGCCGTCTCCACGCTGTTTACAAGCAACTTCTTAGTTATGAGCCGAGGGAGACGAAGAACTTCTTCTACGTAGAAGGATCTGCAAACGCAGTCAGCGTTTTACCTGCCCGCTTTCAAAACGTAGGACTGCCCATTGTGTTCGTAATAATCCTTGAGAACGGCACAATGCACGTGAAGAGCTTGGAAGGTGGTCTCCTTCAGCTCGGTGGGCACCCATCCTGCGGTGTATTTCGTTCCCGCCAACAGCTGAAAGGATAACAAATGGACGGATTATTCCGCCGGCCTTGGGAGCACATGTCACACCGCAAATGTAAAGCGAGAGAGCGAAGGAGAGGATGACACAGCGATAAAAAATGGACTGGTGACACGCGCGAAAGAAAGAAGGGAAGAAAGAAGCGAGCGAGTGACAAATGTCTTCGCGCGCGGAAAACTCCGTCGGCGTAACTGAATTTTCCGTTGTCTGGGGACTAGACGAACACTCGAAAAGTTGTAACGGGAAAGTAAAGATCCCGTAAGAGGTCCCTGCGCAATCAATCACCCAGTTGTCTCGAGCGAATTTGCGGCTGAATGTTTACACAGAGTGCGTTCTCAGGCGCGATAATAGAGACGTCGTTTCTCGTCACTAGTTTCTCGAGTCTTCCCCAGGTAGAGAAGAAAATGACGATGACGTCGAAGGAAAATCGAAATGATAAGAAAGTGGCCAAAAACTCACTTTTCGACCATTCTCTCATCATTTCGACGAGTGGGAAACTTCTCATGCAGGTGACTATCATCAGTTTCTGCTTTTCAGCTGGGTCATTTCTTATCGCCAGATTTTCATCTGGTCCTCAGTTGCAGGAACTGAGCTTTTCTTTTTCGCGTAACGCGCGGTAATACTCGCGACAGCCGGTAACATGAATCGTTAAGGTATCTCGCAGTTAGACCGGGGAATATGTCAAGTTGGACGACGTCGCTTCTGATTGATTTTACACGACGATGAAAATTAAATTCTGCGATAGCCAGCGGCGATCGTGCGGAACGCGCGCGTCTCTCACCAAGAGGAAGCATCCCCTGGAATGTAGATGGGACGCGCCGATCTCCTCTAAGAAAAACTCCGCGAGACGTGGGTTGGCGTCCGGGTCATCGTTGGCGCCGTACTGCATGTCCACCAGGAGCACCTGCGCAAAAGTTAAGCCGTCACACCAGGTGGCGGCGAGTTCGGTCAAGTCAAAAGTAAATGAATTCGCGCACTGACCTCGATCCCTATGTCGTCGTAGATCGATTGCAATTCCGGACCGACCACCTCCAGCAGCTGTTTACGCTCCTCCGGGAAGTCTAGTCGGCGCACAGTCGCCGAGGGCGAATTCAATCAAACGTTAATGAAAGAAACTTTCTCGAGATTGAACGGAATGGCTTCACATACACGGAAAAAAAAACAATCCCGTTGGTACAACATTCCTATCGTTTGAGGGGTGAAAACTCGGTTTGCAGGAACGGAAAAATTCCTGCACGAGAAGTTTTCCACTCGGTCAATTGCTCTCGGTTGTCTCAAACGAGTTTGAACGCGGTTGAACGTTCACCTGAACGTTCTCAGTTGCGGTGACAGAGATATCGTTTCTCGTCACCGAGTTTTCATCTCGTCCCTGTTCAGTCGTCCACGCCCGAATCGAAATTTCAGATTCTACATTGAGTCCTCAAGGGAAAAAAAAAATGGGGATAAATTCCTATTTGCAGTATCAAAGAAGCACAATAAGTGCTTATTTAGTGTTACGAGTGGAGGTTGAGACTCCTTCAGAATCGAAATTTTTTAGTTCTACATTGAGTGTTCAAGCGGATTAAACAGCAATAACTTCTCCATTTGCAGCGTCAAAGGAGCACCAATGAAAGACCTCTGAACGCTTAATGCAGAACTTAATTAGGCTTAAAATAGGACTGAAATCCGCCGACTCGGGCGGAGGAAGAAGATTGAATTAACCCGACAATGAGCGAACCAAACGAGTTTTGTGAATTGGAGAAAACGAGATTTCTGAGATCCCGGTGAAGTACAAGTTCGCTCATAGACATTCTGTTGCCCACAAGCAAAACGCTCATCATCACATTAACTCGACCAATCTTTTTCTTTCTCCCCGTGCAGGAACCGAGTTTCTTTCCGTGTACAGCCGCATAAAATCTGTCAGAAATTCCTCACGATGAAAGCATAAATATGTATTTGCAATTACTTTGGAAAAACATAAATATATTCCGTGATGAATGCAGAGATATTGAACGGAAATGTGTTTTCCAGAAATCTGCTCGAGAACTCCGAACTCACCATTCCTCTCGCCGGCGATGAATATCTTGATAAGCCTCGGTGCCGGCAGATGGGCCGGGGGTGGACCGCCCTTGATCACCCCCGCGATCAACTCCACCTCGAGATTCATATTTGCCGAGGTATCCCGATACGAGTCAGGCGATAATCACATCGTACACGGGCCGTTACACGCTCGCTTTACGGCTGCTACATGCGCTGTTTACATTCGTGTCTGAGCGCGCGCACGTCCCTCTGCAGCCTGGGATATTTTTATTTCCGATCCCTAACAATGTTTTCGCTCGATCGTCGGCCGTTTTATCATCGGAGACCTTGATCTCTTAGAGAAAGAAAGATATATATATATCGCAGTCTCTCTGAACGTCGGATTCTTCGTGTTCCGACGAATCCACGGATTCACGTGGACGTGCGAAGTCCGCTGAATTTGCGCGGTTAAAATCCCTCCGATTCTTCTCTTATTATTACCGGATGCTCGTGCGATAGTTTGCTTATAGATTGACAGAATTCTCGATCGTTAGACGTTGGGATCTCAACATCGGACTTTCGGCCATCTGGCTCGCCAAGTATCAGGCGTTCTTCAGAATTTCGTATATCTCGAGCGTAGAGAACTCTCAGACATACCTGGTCGTTCTTCCGTTTTCCGAAGCGTTTTTATCGCTCGCAAGGTACTCGTGTGTCGATATATGCGTACTTGATCGATCCGGCGACAAGTAATTAAACAATATTAAAACTAGCATATAATAATCCATGTTCAACAAATAATTCGAGATCGTGATTTTCGATCTGTAGCTCGTTCATATATATATATATATCTATATATATAGATTTATATCATATATATATATATATTTATATGTATATATTTCTATATTTAATATATATATATATAATTCGATAACACTATTTAATCAACTACGATTGTCTTCGCTTGCGAGTGCAACGAGCGTTACATTGAATCGCTAATTACGATTAGGCGATACTCTTGATTGCTGCCGATACGTTCCCCATCGATCGCAGAGTGATGATGCATAAGATCGACTTCGGGTTGCGAAAACGATCTGATCGTTAACGCGACCTCTCTCTCCCCCTCCTCCTCCGATCACGTTAACGTTAGTTTGTACTTATCCCGAGCGTGCTCATTGGTCGTTGCCCGTCGGTGGTCGGCGGGCCGGAGATATGCCAGGGTTTGAGGGAGGATGTCAAGACCCTTTGGTACATGCGCACCCTATGTTCCCATTTTAAGGGCGGGGATCCTCTGCAAGGAGAGAAAACGGAGCGAAATGGATAATGATTTCGCTCTCGCATTATTCGGCCTCGATGAGCGAAAAGCGGGCCCTCTCGCGAGCGAACCCTTAGAGCCGGGCATCGAGTTCGCGCGCGGCCAATCGATTCAGCTTTCTTTTTACGGATCCGCTCGGAGCGTGCGTGTGAGCCGCACTTTACGCACCAGGATAGGAGCATTTTCGGCCCTTTCGCGATGCGTATCGATTTTTTCGCCGGAGTCGCCGGTCGCGAGCGGGCGGACGGGCGGCGTGTCGCGCATGGCCGCTCGCGTCGTGCCGGGAGAGTGCGAGATTTCGCATTTCGGTACACGCATCGATTAGCAAATCTGAAATTTACAGGACGCAATCTCCGTCAACTCCTGTCGGATGCACGCAACAGGGGTAGCGGCGGCGGCGACGACGGCGGAGGCGTAGAGCTTGTATATCGCTCGCGCGAGCTAGCGGTGAACTTTTGACCCGCGGCGCACGAAGCCCGCCGCTCGTGGCCATTGTTATTTTTTGCGAAAATTCGAGCTTGCGCATATCGGCGAATTTCCAGGACGGAGAGTGTGTGCTCGTTGCGCAAATGGAATCCGGTCGCAGGATCGATCGACGTGGATCGATCGCAGCGATCGATCGACGTGCTCTCGATCGCTGGGAGGATCGCACGTGACCCGGGAGGAAATTTTTCAGCTCGCTCGCAGATTTTTATCGCGTCATCAGCCGAATCGACGGATCTCGGATTACGTGTTGCGTCCTGGAGGAGGAGGAAGACGGAGGACGCGCGTGCATGTGCAAATGTTTGCCGTTCCGCGCGTGTATAACGCTCGGACGGACACACAGAACGGGCAAACAGACCTCCTCTTAGCACCGTCGAGCGCGCGTCGCGTACAAATTGTCGCGTACAAATTATCGCGTCCTTGCGACGCGGTTAGATTGACTGAGAAGCCGCGAGCGCAGCATCATTGCGGCGCGGATGCTGGGTTCTCGCGAGGATTGGTCAAAATTTCAGCACGTAGTCTCAGAAAGCGTAGCCACGTCCGCATACAATTAATAATACAATTTTTTATCGTGCAAAAGACTCCATCAAGCCCCGTTCTCTAGACACGGTGTTCAAAATCGGGACGTAAGGCGTCGCAAAGGCGTCCCAATGAACACCAATTAAGGGAGAGTAACATAAATTATAATAAAAATAAATCGTAATTTCAATAATTCAGTTATTGTCATTCTTCGCTGAACAATATGAAGGAAATTTATGAAACGCGTGTTAAGTAATATCATTGGTGTTCACTTGAAACATAAAACGTCTTAAAGATGTCTTTGAGACGTCTTACGTTCCTCGATTTTGAACATTGTGCTGTGTGGACGACATCGAGAATTTCCAATTGAAAGCATTATTTGTAGTATCATGCTTGTTGATAATTTGATGAATAGATTCAAAGCAGTAGGGATTATGCACAAATGTTTAAAAATAACATATCTAATTGGAAATCTTCAATGTTACTGTACTTAGGGAATAGGATAGCACTAATAGAGTCTGTTGTACGTGTAATGTAACGCTTCTCCCTTTTAAGATATTGAAAGTAAACGGATAAATAAGAGAGAGAGAGAGAGAGAGAGAGAGAGAGAGAGAGACAGCCGAATTTTCAGACGAATCGAGCGACGGCCGGGACGTCGCACGTAGCCTGATCGTTTCCAAGATCACGATAACCGAAGAGGGTAGTCGGCGAGTCGATGGCAGATTGATATGGTTGTAGCGAGAGGAAAAAAGGGAAAGAGAGAAAAAGGAACTGAGAGAATGACAGAGAGGGAAAAAGAGAGGGGAGGAAAATAGCCGGCGGCACGAGAGGCGCGCGATAAGATAAAAATAGAAGAACACCGTTCTCCTGGAGAAGATTGTCGCTAAACATAGTTCGACCCGTGTGGAGTCTCGGCCAATTAACCTTCCGCCAACCTTCTCGGTGCCGCGCATTTGTTTACAACGCTTACACTGAACCGTGATGCAAAATTTTCTCGGCGAGTACGACGTCGATCTGCTATTTATTCGTAATTAATTATCATAACGAACGTTTCACTTAGACCACGTCATCGATTCTCCGATCGGTTAATCGTTAGACGTAACAACCGGCTCAAAAGGCTCGCGACGAGCGCGAATAATTGAAATGTCGAAATCTCTCGAGACAATTTGCGCTGGTTCGTTTCCTCGATTATTTAGGACATTCCACGCGCGCGCGCGCGCGACCGCTCTTATATGCATGTGCATGTGTATGTGTGCGTACGTATCTTCGCAATTACAAACCGCCATCTTTTGAATTAATTAATCGCGCTCGTAATCGAAATCATTGACGGATCAGTCGCTCTCAACCGCTTGGCGATCGAGATCGCCGTTCCGCGACTATCGACGGAACGAAATGCCAAAAGGCCGGAAGCCGATCGCGCTCCCGAAATACGAATTTATTAAACATAAGACGCCATACTTTCTCGAGAGAAACCCCTCTATTCTATTCTATCCTATCTCTCTCTCTCTCTCTCTCTCTATATATATATATATATATATATATATATATCTCTCTCTCGATCCTCTTCCTCCCTCGTTCATGCGGAGACGTTCTATTTGAATCTCTCTCTCTCTCTCTCTCTCTCTCTCTTCCTCTTTCTCTTTCTCTCACAGGAAATTCCATTCTGCGTTTTATCAGTCTGAAGAACGCGAGCATCGCCAGCGAACGTCGCTAGCCGCGGTGATCGCGCGGAGAAAGGCAAAAATTCGCACACGGCGCGGTTTCCGTCTCTCTCCGGCCGGTCGATGCGGGACCGAAAAGGACAGGGGAAGGGGCGCCAGTCAAAACACAGGGCTTACCAGGTCGTCGGGCAGAGCTGTCGCGACGAAGGCCTTCACCTGCTCACGCTCACGACGGTACCACTACTGATAACGCGCCGGTCAAACGGCCGACGCCTCCGAACGCCGAGCGCCGACGCTGCCGCCGTCGCCGCCGCCGCTGCCACCGTCGACGCCGACGCCGAGCTGGAGGAGGGATGATTATCATGCATCGATGTTATCTATGTGACTGATACGATTTGCATTTCATTGCGCCGCATACATCATCTTTTTTGTGCGGATGAATAAATATGCAGGATGAAATCTCGCGGACGACTCGGCCGCTCCGATGGCGACGGCGCGATGTTAACGGACGCTCGTTCTGTGTTACTTAAACGTGACGCGTGTCTTGAAATAAAGCACCGGTGTACCAGCATGATTGCGCCGAGTCAATCTCGCGAATGAGTCAAGGAGAGCGCTGAGACACTTTATATAATTTTTTGTAATTGTAGGTAGATTGCGAACACGCTGAGAACATTTCCGCGATGATACGCAATCGATGATTTTTTCCTTTTTTCCGTATAGATACGAACCGGTACACGAGGATGGGTTGAAGGATGCGGAGCGGATGTGCGTACAATTATCATCTCTCGAATAATTGCGTGTAATTTATATATATATATATAAATTATATATATATATATATATGTATATATATGTATACACATATATACATATACATATATATATTTGGATAGTAGAACCGATATTCAGTGACACAATCGGTATTTAAATTATATAGATCATGTCCCGCGCGTATATTTGTTTTTACCCTTTCGTGTGGGTCGCAAAAGAACAATATGCCAGAAAATCTTGTTTGGCAGTATCAACACTGGGTGAGCGAGCGCAGCGCGATCATTTTATACAGTATTCATTTACCTAATATCATTTTCTTTTTCCTTCTTTCTTTCTCCGACGCTCGCACACACGCACACACACACATACATACATAAGCGCGCTTTAGTTCGCCATTATTTATTATAAGGTCCTTTACAGGCGAACCGTCTCGAAAATTTATTATCAATATTTTACATTATCGCGAAATCATCCTCCTTCACCACCTCCATCCCTTCCTCCTCCCTGTGTACAATTAATTATTTAAGTAATTCAATTGCAACTGTGCAACTTTCGTCGACCGTTCGAAAAATCATCGTTGAAATATTTCGTGACTTTGCTCGCTGCGAAAGTCGAATTTTACACATTGCCATTTAGCGCGTCACATTGTCGAGCGAATTAATGTAGAATTAATCACTTTGAATAAGAACTTTCCAGCTGTTTTGCCCTCTTTATTGCCTGCAGGTGATTAATTTGCAAGTGTGCATTGCTTATCACCGTGAAATGTTTCCGCCTCGCGACACTCGCCCAGCAAACAATTTTATCATTGCTACTTTTATACCAAAACATCCGCAGAACATCCGCATTGATCTAATTACCCTCTAATAGTTTGTAAATAATATTTTATAAGTAACATTTCCTAAATAACGTTTTGTAGATAATATTTTTCGTAACGAAATAAATAAGATAGGGATAGACAACTTTCGCGCTTCTTTTTTTCGTAAATCGCGAAAAGGATTGTAGAATAACGAAACAAAATAGTTTTAAAAAAACATTCCGTGTGAGAACGGAAACAAGTTTATTCGTCATATCGATATTCTATCTCAACGGATCAACGAAAAAAAAATTCTATCACTGCTCAGGTAAAAATCGCGCGAATTAAAAGTGCTACGAATATAGCACGAAATTGTAAAAAATAGACTATCGTTTACTGGACGAGCACAAGCGTGTACAAAGAAGTTATACATATTTATCCCATTGTGGATGCGCGCGCAACGAGAGAACGCGAATCCGTGTATCAGCGATATCGATGGTAAACAATCGTAATAATAGTATTAATAATAACAATAATTACAATCTACCATATTTAAATGCGTCAGTGTCTGTCGGTAAGGCTATCACTGCTGCGTATGGCAAAATAGTTCTTGAACCACTCGTCCGATATTTCTCGTATGAACCCACGACCGATCGATAATGGAATCGCGCATTATTCTTAATCACATTGCAATGTGATTCTGTGATTCATGAATCCAATGACTCCCAATGGAATCAGATCGGTCACTCTTTCACCTGTATCTTGAGATGTTGCAAGAACTCGTAATAACTGAGCGCCGTCTCGAATCGGTCTTCTATTAGTCGTTCGACAAATAGTGTTCTGAAATGGCTGTCCTCCCTGAAACGTCATCATTCGTCGCTTCGTAAAGTGCATTCGTAATAGCTTGAAGCAATGGACAAATTAAGATGTAGTAAGAAAAAAGTCGAATTGTACGATGAACGGACAATTGTACGAGCGCTGTTTAAATATTTACGATAGTTATTCAATCGTCGAATCACTATTCACTTTATATATTCCGTGCAAATCAATTCGTCATCGCACGCGGAGGAGAAGAAGCAGATTCGCTCACCTGATGATTTGTATAGGTACTGAGAACGATTTCTCCTCTTGCAAACTGAATATAAAATGTCGCAACCGTTCGTTCTCCATCGTGTCCAGTTCCGGCAGTTCATACTACAACGGGAATTCGAAGTGGCGAATTATTCGTTGAATTTTTATCTCGGCGCAGTTGATGCGATCAATTTGTCAAATTTCGATTCCACCAACAGTGCGGTGACCGCTGGCAGAAATTCTGAAAGTACTCACCAGTTCCTCCGGGATAGAAGCAAATGCCGGGACCCCGAATACAGCGGAACAGAATACCGGATTAATGTTCTTGCCGATGTAAATGTAGATTTTGTCGCCGGCATCCAGGAGGAAAACACCCCGAGCGTCGAGTCGTTCCGCGGATAGATGAAGTCGCGGTGGTTGCGGGCAGATCTTACCGTCGACGTCTTTAGCGTTGCGGTCGTCGAGTGCGTGCACCGGGTACAGGTCGGGGTAAACCATTTGCATCAGTTGCGCCAACGGTAGTGTTTTCAATTGGAACATAGCGAACACGCGATCGTCCAAGCGCGTGCTGGTGCCGGATCTGAACGCCAGCTGCAAGTTTACGAAAAGTGCGAGGATGATAAACGAGCGCGTATGGTGCAAAACAACGTCACATCTACCACACGGATTACTCACGCTTTTCAGCAAGGCGATGATGTATAACGGCAACAACTTTAAGCTTTCCGGCGCCAAAAGTCTCCCAGTACCGCTGGATTGTAACAATTTGTACGTGGATAGGACATCGATGGCGACGTTTATCAATGCGTCTCTGGCGTCCGACAAGGATGATTGAAGCGACCGATCAACAGCTGTTCGCATAAATATCTATCAATCTAAAGATTCTGCACGACAATCTGCATTCTGAAGTCCCTCCCGAAAGGGGGGCCAATTTTCTAATTTCATTTAATTACAAGTATTATATAGAGGCGCTCCCGGCTTACCCATTTTCGACAAAAGGCCTATTATACATTGTTGATCCGCGGCATGTAAAATGTCTGATAAATTTTTCACGATCGGCAAGCATAGAGTGTGCACTCTGATTCTTCGTTCGCCTTGAAAAAGAAAAAAAGTAAAGTAGAATATCAAGAAAATGTGAGAATATGTATGGGGGGGGAAACGATAAACACACGCAGAGGGAGGGAAAGCGATTACCTTTGCTCGAAGTGTAGAGTAGAGCTGCTTGGAAGCACACACTCTGCAGATCGGAAAGGTTCTCCTCGATAGCGATTTGCATGCCGAAGCCCGCATCCGGGTTGATGTTTGGCAAACAGAGAAGATCGGTCGACCGGACGAAAAAGCTGCCGTGGAAAGCTTGGATGCTGAGCCCGCGAGTACAACGAATCCTCATTACCGCCTCGAAGCCAATTTTTCTCGTCAGGTACCGGCGAAGCATTCTCTCCAACGTCTCCGCGCTCTGCGGCTTTGAAGCTCGAAACAACGGCACGTGGAAGATGCAGCCACCCGTGAACTTCGACATGCACGCTGCAAAATACAATAAGGATTCAAATTCAACTGTTTCATCACAAATTCGAGCTGATCCACCAACATCGTGCTGGTTCACACACCAGAAAAAGTATCATCGTGACATTTTTTTTTGTCTAATCATTTCACTTTTATGACTGTTTCCTGTCAAAGTCACAGTTGCGTGCGTAGAGTCTTGAAACAGACAAGAGAAATATATCACACGCATTTCTTATTACTCACACAAAGTTGCCAGGTCGCTGTATTGACTGTTCAACAGAAACATGTCGATCGCAATTTGCTGTCCGCTGCAATCCAGGGCGAATCTCTTATAGAAGTCTGTCGCCGGATTGAGATGCGGCACGTCTTTGCCCGCTCGAGCGTTGGGGTCCTCTCGCGACTGCAAAGCGCCTGGGCCATAATTAGGCAGACAGGTCTGGAAAACTGTGACGCGCCCTCCGGTCGCGAAAAGTAGCTTATAGGCGGCTTGAAGAGCGGCGCCGAGGGCGCAGCTGGTGTCGTGTGTGCCGTGGAACTTGACGGGCAACTGGGCGAGGAGGTCGCGAACGAGCTCCTCGCGCTCCTTCAGATTCACAATCAGGTTCTCGGGGCACGGCAGAAACACGTCGTCGATGTCCAGCATGATCATTTCGTGCGGCTGCGAGACGTTGTCGGGCATGCTGAAGAAGTGTAAGGCTGAGTCGACGGCGAGGAAACCGATCTGAGTGCGACTGTCGCCGGGTAGACGCGACAGCTCGTCGGTGATCGTGTTGCAGACGATCTGCAAGTAGCCGCTTTCTATCGCGAGACGAGACACGTCTACGACGAACAGGTAGACCGCGGGCTGAGGTGGACGGAGCTGGAATTCGTCGAATTCTCGATTAAATCCGTCAGGGGTGAAATAGAAAAAAAAAAGAAAGGAATTACACACAACCAAAAATTAAGCGGGAAATTGAGGAGGAAATGAAAAGGAGTGACACGCGTTCTTATTCCGACGTGATCTCTTTCAATCAACAATGCAAAGGAAACGAAACATTTATTACTGACCATATACTCGCTTGGCGCAATAAACTCGATCGTGCCGTTCTTGGCTTCCGGCCGTCGCGCTGGCTCGCCATACGATTTCGTTACAGGATCATATTGGAATTCTTCGGGTACTGAAAACAACAAGATGCAAGTATATTCGAATTTTGCCGTGTAACGCAACGAGATAGGCGAGATAAATGTGAATAGATACGGCGAATTTATTACGTTCGTTCAGCCTGAAGCAGAGATTGCACTTCCATCTCTTCATATCGATGAAAATTACGAAGGGGTTGATGTATGTTCTGCAAGCTCGACAACGCACAATCGTATTACACTGAATCACCGGCAAATGCTGCTGACAAGTGAAAAGAAAAGAAACAATCACATTAACGAAAGTCACTTCTGTTGAATATCCCCCCATGTCATATTCGCGAGAATGCACATGTAATGCCAAATATGACACCGAACATATTAGCATTGAGGTACATACATTTAAATCTTTAAATGGATGTATTAGCACACCGAATGGCAATCTAGACTTCTGCAGGAGCATGTTCGTATCTGGGACCTTCGTCAGCGTGCATCTGAATATTCTATAATCATTCGGCCCACGTCACACAGATTATAATGTAAATAATTTTGGCGTAAAATAATGCGACACTTTTAAACTCTATAGATTTTTGAACTTTGGATTCGTGTACTTTAGATATATTTCTTTCGATAACAAATAACTTGAATTTAAAAGATAGAAGAAACTACGTAGAATGATTCGAATAAAGAAAAAAAAAACTGTATGGAATAGGAGAAACTTACTCGGGACTACAATTTGCGGTGTCTAACAATTCCTGTTGTAACTTAATCTTTGGCGGCTCGACTCTTTTAGGCGGCAGTATATTTCTGCTCTGTAAGAGATCTACCGCTACCGAACCCTGAAAAACATATTAGTGTGTTGTAGTTTTAATGCGTTTATAGACAAAATTATTTATTATATATCACATTGTAAACTATATAATATTAAATGTGAGCACGATTACCCATAATTGGTCATAGCCGCTCTGTGTCACGTTCAGATTGCTCATCTGATTGTTTAATTGGTTTAATTGGTCAGGATACGTATTAGGGTATCTTCTATTTAATGAGTCTAATGGAACATTCGTCATCGGGCCGGGATAGTGCAAACGAGTATCATACTAAAAAGTGAGAGTAACTGTGTTATGTAACGTGAACTCTCGCTTTGTATCGCTTTGTATCACATTATGTTCCCAAATTCCAAAAATTTACCATCTGATGTCCTGGAAGCATCCTTGACGATGGTGGTCTCGCGTGTAATTGATTAATTCCTGAAGAGGGCACAGTAGCCCTTGGAGGTGGCATCGCGGTATTGGCAGTGTCCTGTTGCGGATACTTTCTCTGACCAGCTAAATTTTGATATACATTCGGACCTTGAGGAACACCTCCCAGTCCCATGGGGTCCATTTGGCCAGTAAGTAGATTTTGCAGAGGCTGAGGTTGAAGTTGAGACTGGGGCAGAGGCTGAGACTGGAGCAGAGGCTGAGACTGGGGCAGAGGCTGAGACTGGGACAGAGGCTGAGACTGGGGCAGAGGCTGAGACTGAGGCAGGGGTTGAGACTGATGCTGAGATTGGAGCAGAGGCTGATGCTGGGACTGAGGCAGAGGCTGATGCTGCTGGGACTGAGGCAGAGGCTTCAAAGGCTGAGGACAATAATCCTGCGGATTTCGTACAGCCATATTATGTGCTTGCTGTAAACTACTTGCGGAGAACAAGTTCTGAACGCTAGAACTCATGTGAGATGTCGATGACGCGCTGAATATGCTTTGCTGGCTTCCATATCTGAGTTGTGGACTAATTGCGCTTTCGGAAGGATCAATAGGCGATTGTGCCTGAACATTCCAAGTCCTTGATGATTGCACATTGGAAGCCTGCGGATCCTGCTGCATGTTACTGTCTTGGTTCAAATGTTGACTGACGTTTGGAGGAGGTAAACTAATGCTGGATGGGGCTGAAGAAATGGGATGACTCTGATCATATGCCAAGGGCTGATTTACTCTAGTAAAAGGCGACTGGCTGCCTGTTGTTTGATCTGTAGAGACTTGACTAGTCTTATCGACGCTACTGGAAACACCAGGAACGCCTATAGTGCCTTGCGGAATGTTGCTTGACGGGGAATTGGTCGCCCATTGGTAACTTTGGTTCACTTTAACAAATTCCGATTTAACAGTATCCGCAGGTGTCGAAGCTTCAGATTCAGCCCCGAGGTTTCTCGCCAATGGAGGTATCTGATTTGGAGGCATCTGATTCGGAGGAATCATAGGTCTATGGTGAATTTCCTGGCTAGGTTGGGGCATAAAGGCAGCTGAGGACGTGCCGATGTTCTGGCCACTGGTAGCGTACTGGCTGTGTACACCATAAGGGTTAATGGAACTGAGTGGCTGCGACGTTCTAGGTGGCGGAGGCAATACACCGGAGCTCTGTGATCCAGTTATTGGTGGCATTGGCGGTCGAGGTAACTGAGGCCGATACTGGTTGTGAAGATATTGAGTTGGTGATGGATCTCTGGAGGTTTCTCTGGATGGATCGCGCGAGGATTGTGATGATGGTGTACCTGAAATAAGTTTAGTTTTACAATAGTTTTACACCGTCACAATTTTTAAAGTGACCTCTTTAGATAAAACTCATTATCGAGAAAAGTATAAAGTAAAATTGGTACAGTTTATATATAACTAGTAACACTACCATTATTTTTAATATTGTGTTAGCATAGATCTTGAAATAAAAATCTGACATGTTATTTGATTTTCGAGCAATGTGCTTTCAAAATAAGAACTTACCAGTTAGATTGAAATGAGGGGACTGCATACCATTCTGTTGAGGTATGGAACTCTGACCATTCACCATAGGTGATGGATTATTCTTCAAAGCATTATTGGGTTCTACATATAGTGGATACTGGTAACCGCTTGATTGTGACATTCTGTCCCTCTAAAAGTCACTGTAATCAAATATGTCATTAAGACAATGCAGTTCGATAAATATATCATTAAGAAAATACAATTCTCTCCATAGATACGAAAGAAAGATCCAGAGTCGATAAGTGAGCGTGAATAGTCAGATTCAAAATCTATCGTTGTCAGGCTTTAGAGCAGATCCAAGGTGTATAATAATAATATAAAAAAAGATATGCAACGTCGTTTCTATTTTAATTTTTCTCGTACATCAAAGGTCACAAAAGGAACTCGGACAGTTCGTTGAAGTTTCATCGGAATATTGCAGCACCTACGAGAGAGTGCAAATTCCAGAATGAACAGGTTATAGCGAAGGGATCAGCTGCATCACGCGTGCTGTACGTCGTTTGAGGCTTTCGATAAACTGGAAGGAAAGTATAGATTGCAGCAGACTGACGTTTTACGGCGAGTTAAAGCGCACTGTCAGTGCGCCGAAAGGTTAAAGTGGAGAAGACGGCTCGGGATGCTCGAGCACCTGAATTTTGGCCTTACCTTCGCGATGGGCGCGACACCGAAATTAGGAACGGCCGGATGCAGACCCGCGCATCGCCCCTCGTTGCCGTTTAATTCCCTCCGAACGATCTCACAAATATTATAGCGTACCAATTCGTGAGCAAACGAACAGCACGCACAACATTACGTGGCAGCTCATGCGACTGCCGCGCCATGGCGTGGCACTTGCCGTCTCCGAGCGAGAGATGCTGATGCCGCTGAGGTAGCCTGGAGGCTGATGATGCGTCGTCTTTGAACGATGTAGGTCTTGTATTTCACCTTGTATGCGCGATTTTTTACACATTTTAATCTCCTTTCAGAAAAAAACGATCCTTCGATCGTGTACACGTATCGGCAGAAATATACATATCCGAATATGTGATAAATGTACCTACTTGGATCTCTCGGAATGTACGGAATGTAATATAAGAAAAAAGTGTGGAGATCTCAGTAAAAGGATTTTCTATCGTAATACGCGAGACTGAGAAATATTCCAGCCAATGCTCGGTCGATCCTTAGAGCACCTTTTCCACAAGATCCTACCGACGTGAGAGAATTGACCGTAACGGCATGTATACATCAATATATGGATTATGTATTTATCTCGATATATAGAATACACTTTGCAATCTGGGTTAAATAGACGATGAGTCTTGGTCGTTTGGAGAGGCTCGCGCGGCACTTTGGAATGACGGAAGATACACAAGTGGGAACGGCGGCGCGAACGTAACGAGGAATTACATAAAACAAGTCACAATTGGTCGTGCCGCTTTTAATCGGACTCGGCTCCCAGGGCTGTGCAGAGCGTGTCGACGCGCGTCCGCAGTTCCTCGTTCTCGTGCGAGAGTAGACTTTTGCACGCGCCGGCCAACTCGCAGCTCGTTAGGTGTTTTTTCAGTTGATCTGAAAAAGATGCGGTATTAGACTATCAAATAGTCGATTTCGCCGTATAGCTCATTTTAACGTGTCTTTCCTGAAAATCCTGAAAATATCTTCAAGAAGAAAAAAACGATGACTCGTAAAACTAACTTGACAGACACACACGCATATGTATATAAGATCTATATTGTATCCATGTACCTGAATGTACGACACTGTTTAGCAACATTAGTGCGTTCAGTACGATGTGTATGTCGAGGCTGTTAGCGCGCGCTTCGAAGAACACTTGCATCTTATGACCAAAGTCCGCTGCGATCAGCAGCTTCTCGGATTCCGCCAGACAAATCCCCGTTAATATCGTCAGGCCCAGGATCGCTTCGTTTTGCATCAACGAGTGCTGCGCTAGGAGCATATTCACTAGATGCTGCACCGCACCGTACTTCATGATCGACAGGGCGATCTGCTTGTCCCTGTAAAGTGCGCGTGAAACTTCGAGATCGCGTCATTGACACCGTCGAGAACGAACCTGCTGTTGTTCATCAGCCACGCGATCAGTCGATTCGCCTCACCCTGAACGCCAGGATGATCGATATTGCACCACTGAACCGCTCGCTTGATCAGGTCTTCCTTTCGTCCTAAGAACACCGCTGCTTCTTCTGCAAAAATCGCAAATGTTCTTACATTACCAACGATCGCTTTTGGCCCTCTGGATAGATCAGAGGCGCATCATTGTCTTCTATCTACGATAGGATGCAAAATAGAGTGTAGAATGTACTTGCGCAATCGTTAACGTTGTGTCACCCTGTGAATCCGGCTGTGTTCGGTTTTTCCACTCAATAAATTCAATAAAACGTAAAAAGAGTGACCCGGAAATAAAAATTACGTTACTCACGCTGAATGTACAAGGGAAATTGAATTCTCGGAAGAGAAAGAGAGAGAGAGAGAGAAAGAGAGAGATTTACCGACGTACTTACTTTGGCCGTCTATGACTATTCTGAGCGTGCCCAGTAATTTGAAGATGACAGGGAAAGTGGGGATGTCTAGCATAGGATAGAGCACATCAATCAGACCATCGGCGAGTATCAACGGCTTGTTGTCCGCAGGTATGACGAGATTGCGCAGGGCGCTGAGCAAGGCGTGCTGGCACCTGATGTCGTCGAACTTGCTGCCGTTCTCCCGGAGAAGCTTCAGCAACTTCCGATGTATACCTTGTTCGACAATGTGTTTGCAGTGCGTATCGGTGCGCGCGAAATTGCCCATAGCCAGCACAGCGGTGAGCTGCAGGTCCTCGTCGTTGCTCTCCAGCCATTCCACCAACTTCTTGTAGACAGAGCCCTTGCTATCGTCATAAAGGAGGTTCATACTGTCGTCTGTGAGGAAAGAACATTTGGTGCACGTCAAGCCACGATGAGCTCTAAAGATGTGTGCCTCCCGCAGGCTCACCTTCCGTTAAGATCAGTATGATCAGATTACAGGCGACTTTCAGCACGCATCGTGTCTCTTCGTCGTTGCACTGTGGAACGTGTTTCTCCAACAGTTTCAGCAGCAACTCGCACACTCCTTCTTTGGCCAGTAGAAACTTGACTTTCTCTGCAAGCCAGTTGAGGAGGACGGTTACGGTATCGTTAATCGTGTCATTCGGCGGTGAATTGACCATGTCATTGCAACTAATTAAATTATCATTGACTTGCCATCCTCCGCTTGACCGTGTAGCAGCGCCAAACCTATCCCTGACAGCACAGGGGAAGTGTCTCTGGTCAGTATGTCGACCAGAATTTTCGTTAATTTCTCGTCGAGAAATATGATGTTCGCGTCGTTCAATATGCTGAGAGTGAGTAATCCGTGCATAGCCGTCTCGTCGTTGATGCCATCCTGTTCCAAGATTGTGCTGATCATCCATATTATGTTCCTCTCGAGTACCTGACAAAGTCAAACGATTAAATTTATCACTCACTGTTGTTCATAACATGGTGATTTTATTGTGGACTGTTCACACAATACGATGTGTGGCGACATATACAGACGGGAGAGCTTTAGCTTTCTTACCTGCGTGTACAACGATTCCTGATCCACCAGAAGATTTAATAAAAATCCAAGAGCCACGTTTCGCAGAAGGCTGCCGCCTTCGTAATTTTTCAACATGATACCAATCTTAAGCGCCGTTATGATCACTTCCAAACCGTTCTCCTCCTTCACCAAGTTTTTGCCATTCTCTGTTATAAAAAATAACAGTGGTAAAAAATGCAGTAAATAATAATATAAAATTATGTAAGATAAACTTTCGAATAGAGATGTGATTATTGTAATTACCACTCTCAAAGCAGATATTCCCTAGAGCTCTAGATATCTGCGTCAATATATCTAAATCCTCCATCCTCATCAAACAGATCAATGCACGTATTAACTTCCTATTTATGCATTTCTCCCTTCCTTTGTCAGTCTTTGCTATCTCGGCAATAACCTTTGCCGTTTTCGCTATGACCTGGTGAGACGGGTGTACCAGTAGTGTCAGGAAAACCTCATCGATGAGTAATTCAGTTGTCTCTAAAATGATACCATCACTCTTTAGTACAAGCCAACATGTCGATTACGATCTTTTCATTGTACCTCCAGTCAAAGTTTTGCTAATGTCTACCATAGAATCCAATATCCGAGAGATATTAGGACACTCGTCCTCATTCTGCGAGGTTTCAAGCTCCATAGCATGTTTCAGATCATCGACGAGCTCGTCGATGTTATATTTTGTTTCGCCTGCAATATGCACTGAGATGAGAAAAACATTGTTAAACAATTTCTCGAATAGGGACAGAGATAGATTTCTTGAATAGATAGAGCTACAGAGGGAAAGTATATTTTTTGAAACTAGCAAAACGATTACCTTCCATCTTCACAGGAGAAGATTCGCGCCAAAAATCCGCGGAATTCGCACCTGATTCACCCGCACGTCGCACTTTCCTCGTAGTACTTTTTTTCTGATTCAACGTTCACCGAAGAAGGTTCGCGGTCCTTCCGACCACTTCTGACGTAGTTTACGTTCGTCGGAGTAATTCAGAGATGAATCTGAGCGCTTTAAAAATGGCGGACGCCGCCGTCGGCTATTTTCCTTCGAACGTGATGGCGGAATCAAAGGACGCTGCGAAAACATCCATCACGGAATCTGCGAAATATAAGGAAAGAATTTATGGTGAGTTTGGCGAAAAAAAAAGTCATATCGGAAAATGTTTACTCGCGTGTCTGACTTCCCCGTGAACTATGAGCTATACCGGAAAGTGAACTGCCATGCTTTGCGTCCGGGTAAAGTTCGTTAGACAGAGATGGAAATGATTTATAACCTTTTTTTCTATTTGCTATCCTGGCGCTAAAACATGGCAATTCACACTCCAGTATAGTATATAGTTGGATTTCTTGACAAACTAACCCTACTTTTTTAAAAGTTTTCATTCCCTACGTTCATTATGTTATGAATAGCACAAGAAGCTTTGAATTATGAATATGTAAAAGCAATCGGACGAAATGATAATCATGGTGAATGTAATCAGAAGCATCATACACACACACACACACACACATACATACATACCATGTTGTTTATATTACAACACGTGTATCAGTACTGAAGCAGTACCAAATATTATGTAATTAATTAGCATTTAATTTCCCCCTTATTTCCCTCGACTTCATAACTCCCTTATCGTAATATGCGAGATTCGCTTTTACATTCCGTCCAGATATGTCTTACATACATCTATAAGCCGCTATAAACAATTCACACAATCTAACCTAATATAAGAGATCAAGTTTTCCATCCAGTTTTTGTTAATCGCTGAGTCTGTTTTCTATTGCTATACTGCGATAGTTTGCACCAGTTCTTTTTTCTCCTTCCCATTAAATCTCAAAAAAAGAGGAAAAAAGAACTAATATAAGCTAGCGCAACTAGTACAGCGGTAGAAAACAGACTGATCGTACAGTGTGTACTTTGCATCTGACATGAAGGAAACAATCAAGAGATTAGAATATTATTGCAAACTGTGAAATCAACTTTTCACGTTTGTATAAAACTAATATCTGAACTTTGATCAGTTACCATTTTATAGTGTGTATTACTGAAATATAGATTTCCCACATGCAGAATAGTTGCAGCTATTAATCCATTATCCGATGCTGAAGCTTGTTGTCATGTGTTTATTTAACTTTCCATGAATTATGACAGTTAATGTTCGTATAATATTGATGCTGTTTCAGCGAAACCATTAATGTTTTTATAGCTGTGGTGTTCTTAAGCACTGTAACTGGCATTTCTGCTCTTGCTGGCTTTTCTGGGGCAATAGCAACCGCCAGAAAGCAAGATCCAAAATATTTTGGCAAAGGAATCTCCAGTGTTCAAGGACTCCATGAAACTGGAGCTTCATTGGCACTAAGAGCTCTCACTTGGGGCTCGTTTTATGCTATCACAGGATGTGGCTTACTTTTCTATGGAATTTGGAAGATTTCGGGAGCTACCAATGCTGAGGAATTCAGGTTTAAGATGGGTTCTTTGCTACCAAAGATACCTAAGAATAATCCACCTCAAAGCAGGACAGAGTTTGAGGGTTTAAGAGATCTATTGACATATATTTCTGAGGATTGGGGACAAAGAAAGGAGGTAACTCATTTAACTTCAAGATACTAAGTATTTAGATTTCTCAGAAATGTTTCACAAATATTAAAATCAATAAATTAAAAATCATTCTGTTAGAAATACCTAAAATTAATATAAATATTCTCGAGAATGTAAGACAACCTTTCGAGTTTTTTGACAAACCATCTGCAAATATTTAGTAGAAGATCGTTAGACTGTATTGAATGTTACTATTAATAGTAGAATTTTTCTTGATAATTCGTTATGAAAATCATTTTAGGCATATTTAAGAAGGCTGTAATCTGTCTTTTACAGGAATAAAAAACGCATGCTTAGTCGTCTTATCCGGCGATAATGTGACATGGCTTGCACCGTTCATATCTGGCAACGTGCGAATGGCGTGATTGTTCAAGGATTATGTGATTGTGTGCTTATGAGTCACGTATAATTTTACGACATGTTAAACATTGTAAATATAAGAAAAATCATGACTCCTCTTAAGCCACAAGTTAAGTCGTTCGTTGTAAGTTGCTGATTGAAACCCGAAGGAAAAAGAATTTTATATTTATTAATTATAAATTTAGCCAATAAATATAGAATTATAGATAAATGTGATACTCTTTCAATTTGCTATTTCTCCATCCAGTTTATAATAAAAGAAAAAAAAAGGCACAAGAAATTTAACGAATTTTTAGTAATAATATCTTAATATCGAAAACAGTCAATCTCTTTGCTGTTAGAGATCAGTCACGTTAAAGAACGTGACACTTTCATATTTATTTATATTAACCGAAACGTAAGAAGCAAAGGTGGAATAATGACGGATTACATAAGCAGTGGCGACGTAACGTTAAATAATCGTATGTACGTGCATAAGTGTAGAACGTATGTCGTTACCAAATCATCCTCTGTGTGCATATTCACGAACGGAAAATAACAGTTGCGTGATTTTTCTGAGAAATCGTAACTCATCGAAGTTCAATGTCACGATTCAGGAATTGAAGTCGTACAATATGTACGTGAAATATGCGTATATATGAGTAGTTGTTCCAACAAACGTTACGTACTTTCACAATAATTTGACAGTTATAATTACATGCGCGTCAAATTAAAAGCACGGTGTTGAAAAAAAATAAAGAAAATATTTTGCGCATGATTATGTGTTAAAAATTTTTCTACATTTTTCTTTTTCAAGGTGCCTCGAGCTTTCAAATTTTAAAAAGCTAAAATTGATGTTTCATTACGATCTATACTATACTTCAAATTTGTAATAAAACGTCCGTTTTATTCTGCGTGGCGCAAAAATTCATTCTCTTTGTGAAATGAATACATATTACGATTTTTCAAATATCTGAATTTGCAATAAGTTAATCAATCTTCAGCCGCAATATAAAACTCTACTCATTAGATGCAACCTCAAAAGAGATTTGTTCGTCCTCATTTATCAAACAATATTCCTGCGGATATTTCTCCTCGTAGTCGCGCACGTATTATTTAGATCAGGACTTTTATTCACGTGTCTACGTTTTCTTACAAACGGCCTCCACGTTCAATCAATTTTTTTCCTTTCAACGCGCGACAATTTTTCAGAAGGCTCAGAGCCTTCCTTAAAATTGAAATTTTATCGCGATATGAAACTTGTGAAATTTTTCCCTGCGTATTTCTGGATTTTATAGTTGAGGCACTGCAGGATATTGTAGGATAATTGAAGGTAAGATTTAGAATATTTGATATATAGTGAGAATTACGGTAAGATATTATTTACTCATATCCGGTCATAAATTACACCATTCAACATTTTGTCACATGAATTATTTTAGGCGTCTTTTTTCTTTTTTATGTATTTTTGAGCGCTATAAATTGGAATATTCAGAATTTTTACGTTGCCCAGTAGTTTTTCTGTGTCAACATTTTCGACAAGCAAAACTCGAACTTGAAATTGGCCATAGGATGTAATGAATATTGTATGGTGGAAGTGGGACACTCTGCACACATAATACTGAGAACGGTTCTACGAAGCATCTATGGAAAAATGTTACCAGAGAAAGTGGAGTCCTACTATGTTAGCAAACTACCGCTGGGCATTCAAGAGAGACATTCCAGAGACAAAGTACAGAAGAAGATAATAAACGAGTCATTTCAAATAAGGTAATGTATTCCAATATAAAATGTCATCTACTTACGCGGAGTTGTAATTTCTGCGACATAGTTACTTGATAATTTCCAAACTTGGGTGATGGGAAAAATCGGATTGTACATTTAGATGCAGCATGGGATTTGCTACAAGACGAAGCTGAAATAAATCATGTGACAGAAAAAGAATTATCTCTTGTTGTCCAGTATAGTTATTAAATAATGTTCAATATTTTAATTGCAAAAGATACATATAGTAACAAAATCATAATAACAATTGTGCAACAGCCGGTCATATGTGAGAAACGCACGCACGCGCCTCCACATGTATGCTTATATGTATTACATGCGAAAGCAGCTCTTTACTTGTAACATGTCACCACATATAAAAAAATGACAAGGAGAATCACTGCTTTCCCCCAAGAGAACCTTCCGTTTAGGATATCCTCCACGCGCAGAGTGGATACTTAATTAACGTCCACCTTGGATATACTAATTGGATCCCCGATTAGAATCTAGTACCCTACGACCTAAGGATCCGGAAAACCTAGACTCTAGGATCGACGGACCGTAGGATCTAGAGATCCGGTGAACAATAATATCTAAGTCCTATAAAATCGAATATTTAGGAATTCATTTGTCTCTTTGCGAATCCTATAAGTAAGACGTATGAAATACGTATCTTAGGATTTACGGACTCTCGAGGATTTGTAGATTCTGTGCTCCACCGAGTCCCACCTTAAGAATCTTAGGACATAAGGATCCTGAGAGATACCACACCCAGGATCTAACTTCTAGGGTAATACGGCTTCTGTTATCAATTTAAATGCTTAAGGTTAACAAAGTAATAAATTAAGTGTGATAAGTAATCAATAAATTACAAAAATTTGTTTCTCCTTGTTTTTCAGAAAAACACGATTTCTAGGATCTATCGACTTGAAATCTCCGAGGATCTGCAAATTTGTAGCTTCTATGACTGTTGAGATAGAAGATTAAACATAGATATATATACGGAGTCCTACGATGTACGAACTCTAGAATTAATCTAAGTCTTAGGTTGTAAGATTTATCTATAGACCTTAAGGATTTACAAATTGTTCTATAAGGCTTTAGGCTTTTCGTGTACGTTTTCGTTAAGATCTCGGCGCCCCCCGACGAAAACAAACAATTCCGGCTCACAAGATCCAAAGAGTTCAGATCTTTTTTCTTTTTCTTTTTTTCAGAAGAAATGCGCACAGATCTTAGAAGCCGTTAAACCCTAGCATCTCTTTGAACAAATAGATCCTGAATGCATGGCTACGTCGACCAGCGGCGTGAGAAAGAAACAGAAAAAGGGGAAAGAAGAAAGGGAGTAGAGGGAAAGAGGCAGAAGGGAAAGAGAGATAGGAAAGAGCGCCCAGGCGCCCCGGTGTGCCAGATACCGCCTTTAGTTGGCTTTGAGCTTATCGTTGTAGTCGATGTGACTGGGTGCGTCGTTGGCGAAGTGTTTCTTCTCGGCTTTCTTGTCGGTTAGGTACGTCTTGTGGAAGAATTGCGCGAACAAGACGAAATAGCTGAAGTACATCGCGAAACTGAAGTGGATGTTCATGCGGGTGATGTGACAGTCCACATGGCCGCTTTCCAGGTATTGATAGGCGGATATGTTGATGGCGCAACCGATCACCATCTGGGTGAGCTGCAACGTGGTGATCACCATGGAGATCGCCCTGGGCGGTTTGTACCGCATCGCTTTGAGAGCATAGTAGGTGTACATGATGGAGTGGACGCAGTAGTTCATCACGACGTACCATCGCGCGGACGCGGTGTATTCCGAATACGAAAACCATGAATACAGCAGCACGGTGATGTGGTGGTACCAATGCAGGAAGATCAGCGGCTGTTTGCGCAGCACGATGAAGATCGTGTCGCCGAGCTCGGGTAGCTTCGACAGTACGAACAACCACGTCCAGAAGCCCGACACGCAGTTCTGCTCAATGAAGCTGCAATCCAATTATTCATGTGCAAATGATGAATAAATATGTTGAAAATGCGTTCGAGCGAGATGCGAACGAGAAACCGATTAAGTTTCTGAAGGAGAAACAAATGTTAAAACGGCAATTTTACGGTTATTAAGACTCTCCGCTGTAGCTTACTTAATTAACGATGCCAGAAGCGAGATAAACGTATATATCCCTAAATTTCTTGCGGAATACGTTGAAATGAGAGTATACGTCGTCCGTAAAATTATACTTGTGAGACCGATTGAATACATTTATCGAATGTTCCGTAAGCTATTCTTTTATTGCAAAAATCTCAATAAACAGCCGTAAAATTAACGTGACAAAATCATGAAAAGAAGGGTTGAAAAGGGAAGCGTGTCATGTTAAATTTACAGTTATTTATTGATTGTTAAAGCAACAGAAAAATTCTCGAAATATTTGGCAAATGTGTCAATCGATCGATCGAACGAAATGTTTAACCACTTGCATTACGATTTAACTTTCGGTTGCCGTGCCGCGCTCTACAATATAACACGAACACGAATATAACACAAACTACAAGAATTATCGTGTAAAAAAATCCGTACGACATACCGTATCGTTTCTGAAATATTTCCAAGATATCGTTGATACTATGCGATGCCATGAACTTTGGAACTGTAGCTCGAGTAATGAACGATCTAATTGTTAGTCGACATGACGCACACGTATTTTTGTTTCTGCGATAAATACCTATCGACGTGGTATACACGTCGCTGGCGGTTTTGGAACAAAAGCATCTCGACATGAGTGGCACGTCTTCATAGCGCAAGTGGTTAATTTTATAAAAGGATATATCCTTTCAATTCAACTCGTATTTCGCGATAATTTCAGGCTTGCGTTTTTTGCTTTCGATGTCATCGAACAAGGCAATTGCAGCGAGAGACCAATAGCCTGATTTTGTAAATTTTAACGACGTATCATTCGTCGTCGTTACGCAACTTTTTTGCTATAAGTTATACCTGCGCAACGACGACATAACGATAATAACACTGTCGTTAACACAGTTATAGAATTGCGCTACAGAAATTTTAATATGAATTAAACCTATTTATTAGACTGATCGACCGGAAAATTGTTCAGTTAACATAATTTTGTACGAACTAAAAAATTTATGCGAAGTATTACGCAATAAATATATATATATAGATTTTAAAAAATATATTTACATTTGGACAAGAAAAAAAAAGTAAAGAAAAAATAGGAATAGAAATAGGAGCGTAATATCACGTAACTTGTTGATTGAGTTGCAACGATTTACATAAAAACAATTTCACGGTAGGCCAGTTATTTATATCTTCCTTTTTTTGGTTCTAATTATATCTAAATTATCTCAACTGATATTTGTTTCGTAACCTGATTAAAAGCAAAGTTTTTATCGGATAGTCGCCAAATCAAAATGAATTTTGTGCGTAGAGACGCGTTCATAAAATTTAGATCTCGCATGATGTGGCTTTGCTGTTTCCATGTTTGCACTAGAGAATTTTTCGCAATAACTATTAATACGTGAAGAATATAAATTTCCGACGTTCGTCGACATATTCCTCATCACGTGGAGCCGGTTTATCACTAGCAGATAATAGTAACGTTTCAAATTATATTAGTTGTTGTAAAAAGACAGTCAGTTGCACAAGACGGTTGCAACAGATTTTTTACACGTGTCGGAACATATAAAGAATGATGAAGTGGACCTATGATTTGCAAGTAAGCACAGTAGGAAGTTAGAGAACTGTTATAATTACATACGAACGTATAATTTTCACGCATGCATATGTATGTAATTTGAATAGCTATCTAGCCGTCGATTGCATATGTTCCGTGACCTTAAATTTGCCGTATTTTTATTTATTCTGAGGCATGTAAGAAAAGAATAAAACTGTTGCAACCGTCCAGTGACCGACTGTATGTGTACTCCAGTAGTCGAAATTGACAGCACTAGTAATAATAAGTGACAAGTAAATAATTCACGTTTGGTTTTGCTTATATTGGCCTTGAAGGCCAATATGCTATTAGGGTATAATATTAAATTATTCATAACGGTTATACGCAATTTAGTATTGAAATAAAGTGTACTTCGTATTCTGTACCAACAAGAAGCACATATTGAATCCGCGTCATATTATGCTTGTATATGATTTTCACCTTTATGCTTATTTATGATATGCGATAAGCGAATTAAGTATGGCTGAAGGATGTTCATTACGTCAATATATCATGTTAAATATTAACCTTTTCATCACCTATTGAGTGTATCGACGACTCAAAGACACGTGTCGAAGTTACGTCAGTAATTTTTAAACATTGGTAACTTAACCCTTTGCACTCCGCTGTCGCCGTAGCGGCGACATGATTGTTTTGCTACCTCGGCACTTTAAGAAATTTTAAGTCCTAAAATTTATGTTTTTCTTTTATAATATAAGTTAGAATATGTTTTGTTATAAAATAGCTAAGAAATAAAAATTTTGTTTTATTGAAACGACTCTATTTTTCTTCTACATCATAGGTATGTATTTGGAACTAATAGCCTCTATGCATTACTAGGCTGGAGTGCAAAGGGTTAAATAGTTAGGCAAAACAAAGCAACTACCGACCTTGTACTACAAATGCTGTGGTGTAGACCATGATGTCTGAGGACGTGGATCAGCTCGGGCGCAGTCCTGGTGAAGCCGATAATAGAAAAGGCAGCCAATAGCGTATTCCAAAGACAGAGTATTCCCCTCAATTCGAATCTGGGCCTGCTGGCCATATAATGTTGCCCGCCGAATATCAGGATCATGTACAGTCCGCAATAATAGAAGCAATTCTTCCAATTGTTCACCATCCACACCTTGGTCTCATAATGGCTGAACGTCTCCTCGAAGTTGAAGATATAGGAATAATTTGGGAGGGTCACCTCCATATAATCTACCTTATTCATCTTCGATGCGTTTCGAGTCGATGTCTCGGACGATCCTGCAACAAACATTAATATTAAGCGAGGAATTGGTCGCCTCGCACTGGAAAGCCACGACTAATGTTCGCGTTTATCGAGAAATTTTATCTCTCGAGAGATTAGAGAATTACTTCTGAAGAAATTAGGAAACGTATACACACACGCGCGTGCGCGCGCACACGTGACTGTGTGTGTGTATACTAATGTCTACTTGGAATGAAATCAGAAACTCTACATCCATTCGATTCACAAGATGTAAATTCAAAGTACCAAGTTTTACGAAGGAATTCCCTCGCCGAAATTCGCACACACATTGAAAATTTTATTTAACACGAAAATAATACAGGTTTGATTCGGCAATCTTGAATGATTTCAGTGTCTAATTGAAAGGAATTCATCTTCGAAAACTGTAAAGATATAAAAAAGATATAAAAAAGAAATGGAAATAAGATAAAAAGATAATCGGCATTAGTCAACGACCACGTGTTTTATCGGTTTGTTTTTGTGCGCGACTAGTCACGCGTCTGCGCAGTAGCACACGCGTGAGCAACGAATAAGCCAATCCGAGTTCGACGTTCGATCTCACGCGATATTTCATATGATGCGCCGTTGGATTGAAATCGCTGGTGCGAACAATCACGCAGACAAAGCCGGAAAATCGTCTCTTTCAAGCGTGTTCTTGCGGAAGAACCAAGATGGCGGAAAAAAGTCAAGAAAATGTTGTGGCAAGGTGTGTATCTAAGAACACGTCGTTGAAGAGCTGAGGTTGGTTAGAGTTCCATTGCTAAATACGAAACAAATAGATTTTAATAACTACTCAGGCAAAGGAAAGCCAAATGATTAAAGGTTGCAATTTTTACCTCTGTAAGTTGCGCAAACGCATCCTGTATATCCAATATGAAAAATATATCTTCTGAGAATTACTCTAACAACATTAATTCTCTCTTATCAAATATGGGAAACATTGTATAATTCATGCGAGGTAAAAATGTTGAATTCCTAATCATTATGCAAAACATATGAAAAAGAAAATTATATTAATAGATATAAATTGACCCAGTAGTACACAATCATCTGTGTCAATCGTTGCGTAAGACATATGAATACGATCGTGTATAAAATTATAGTTATCCTTGTAAAATATTTTTCTGCCCGTTATTTCTTAAAAATAGTTTTTCTATTGAAAAAATCTTTCTATCCCTTCGTAACCGTTCGAAGGATAAACGCATGCCGAGACGGATAAAAACTGGAGTTTCTTCAAGGGAACATGTTCTACCTCTTAAAGTTGCGATTAAGAACTTGCAGAAAACATACATACCCGTTAGTTTGAGTTGCAAATCGGACGCAACAGAAGATATTATTGCGAGACTTATATTAGGAAATTACGTTGAAATTACTGCGACAATCTTGTAGCATTGGAAACGGACAAAAAGGTAAACGAGCAGTCACGTGATAGTGAATTGCGCTGAATATCATTTGGCAATCGCGTCGTGAAATGGATAACGAATGCAAAATATACGGACCGTAATTCCGAAAGACAACATTGATGCAGCATTGATCGAGATGAATTCGTCGGATATTAGCCTCACGAAGCTTCGGATAAAGAAACGCCCATACCTCGTAATTAGACGTTCGAACTTTCACTAAGAAATATCGCCAGGAAGCATTCACATTTATTGTTTATGCGAATTCGCAACGCAGTAACGGATGTTTGAACTTTGAATATTTTACACTTGATTATCTGATTATATAACTTTGATATTTTGCGCTTTTAATACTCGTTTTACACGAAAAATATTTTCATAAGAGACATATAATATTAAATAAGTGAACGAATAGTTTTTCATCGGCTGGGTTTTATGCGATTACTGCACACCTATTTGCAGAGTGCATAAGTGTCTCACGGCATTTTTGAAAGACAAAAACGTATCAACAAAACGAAATATTTCTCAAACATATACTAGAGTTCGAGTAATAAAACTATTGAGCAACGGTAATTTATCACCGGCCAATTTATCATTATCAATTTATCGGCAGTAAGACTTTTCTGCGGGGGTTTCATAATATACTAACGTTTCCATACACATTCCAACACACAAACGTTATCTAAACGTGTTTGAGAAATATTTTTGTTGATTGACCTGCTGAACGATTTTTTCTCAGTTCATCATTTCCTGTTTGATAACAAGATTTCATCATGAATAATTGAATAACTTGTTTTTTTTTTTCTTACCATAGCAGCACAAATTGGTTAGTTAATTGTTGTCTAACATTTCGCATTAATGTTAGGCAACGGTTAACCAACTAATTTATGTTGCTCCGGTTTTATCGCAGGTCAAACACATGATTTTGTCTATTGTAACTGTTGAATAATTATTGCTTTATTGCAAATTAATGCTTTAATGCATATACACGATGGATAGGTAACAACTTATTTATTCTTCCATTTTTGCTTCGTATTAAATAATACGTAATTAAAAAGATTCTGGTGTAGAAAATTACAGGAAAGTCAAATGGTTTTTTGTAAGAAAACGAAAAAATCGATTGACATTAAACATTGAATGTTCTTTTGGTTTTAATTTAAGAATATATTTTTATTTTCTAAGTAACGAAAACTAAAAAAAAATGTAAGTGCCTTACCGTTATTGTTACTAGTGAAAATAACATTATACACGTCGTTATTAAATCATTGAAGAAAGAAAAGTTAAATGTAACGGCGTTACAAGCAACGAATACCTTCTCAACTGTATATTCCAATACGTCTTAACAAATATTTACTTGAATGTAGCACTTTTCTTTTTAATGATAATTTTAATAATTTTAATAATTTTGTTGTAGAAACAATCCATCTTTTGAATCTATCTTTTAAATTAATGAAAGCAATAAGTATTCAACGAACTTTTGCAAATCCTTAATGATCCAATTTCGACACGGGGGAAAATTTTTATTGAGTAATATACTATTCTCCATAGAAAAAATCAATTTGTTAAACGTACAGTTAATAATTCGAAATTACGTTTATCGAATGAGACGCGAAAGTTGTTCGAGTCATCTATTTTTATGAAACTACTTTTTTCCTCGAGAGTTATAATTCGCCAAAAATACATTTTTCTTTCTGTTGCTTATTCCGAGACACTTGAAAAATTAATACAGATTCTATTACAAACCTGTTTACGTGTTTATGCAGAATATTAGTACTTTATATACAAAAAATTGAGATTTATATACAAACAAAAACTTGCGTTTAGCTTCGTATCGTTTTACTTGGAATGATAATATATTAAGTAAAGCTTTATTAAGACCTCTTCAGACAAACTTGAATTACCACATATTGCATATGCATAAAAAAATTAATTAATCATGATACGTATACAAAAATTATGTTTATATTATGTTAAATTAATGTTTATATACATGAACGGTCAATTTTTGCTGCATATGCATTTATGTTAAATTATGTTTATATACATGAACGGTCAATTTTTTCTGCATATGCATCATGTGACTCTGCAATTTGATCGGATAGGCTTTCAGTCATAACAATCGTCTCTTGGTTCTTGAGGAAATTTCTATACACACGAGATTTTAGACGCGATTTACCGAGCAAAGCGTTGCCGTGCGAAAAAACCGTCTCCCGATGATCTCGACCATTAAATATTTACTATTCACAATAACCATAACATACACACTCACCGATTATGCTCATATACCCGTATATTCTACTCGGAAGTAGTGAATTTTATCGTTCTTATATAAATGTATGTATTTGTCTTTTAAAAATACTGTTTTACCTAGTAAGTAATAATGTTACCTAACTGAGCGTGGCACGAAAAATGGGTGTAAAACCATAACATTCTGGAGAATTAATAGCAGACAACGCTAATGATATAAACGAGAAACAGCAGGATCTTCACATAGCAAGAGGGGGAAAGAGGAAAGAAGGACGAACAGAGTAAGTGAGTGAGTAAGTGAGAGAGAGAAAGATAAATAATTAGAAACAGGTTAATAAGCAGTTTCGCGTGTGTATAGCCGTATTATATTTAGGTCGAGCCGTTCAATGTGCTTTCTGAATGATTTTCGACTTACACACACGCGCGCACACAAGTGTGTACGAGGTGTTGGCTGATTGGTTTCATTCACGCACGCACACACAGACATACGGAGGCATGCATACGCGAAATACGTATAGGTGTACGTTACCTGCGTTTAGTGCTGCACTTTTCGTGAAATTTCCGGAATAGTCAAAGGCGCGAGATGGTGCGAGATGAGCGTCGTTCGGCTTGGAGCCCGAAAGAACGAAGCTGTCAAATTACTAGCAGGGAGCGTTGGTCGTGTCGCGAGCCGGCGTATTTGACGTGGGCAAGGCCACTTCCTATTGGAGCGCAAACCACCGGGCGTCCGGTAGCACCGGCGCCTTCTGATACACGGAGTGCAATCGATAGATAAACAAATGTGAAAGAGAGAGAGAGAGAGAGAGAGAGACGCGGTAGGTACTCCCGTCGTCGTCGTCGTCGCGTGATTCACAATCGGTCGATCTCTCAATTTCTCTCTCACACATACACACACACTCTCTCTCTCTTTTTCTCTCTCACCCTCCCTTTCTCGCTCGTTCTCCCTCTTTCTTTCTACTCCTCTTTCCTTCGATATCTTTTTATCGACGATCGCGCCCTGATCAATCTCTCTCTCTTTCCCGCGCGTCGTTTCGTTCGATCGTCCCTCCTTTTTTTTCTTTTCCTTTTCTCTGTCTTCTCTGTATACAAAACGCTCCACCGACTTGGACCACTACCTAAATCAAGTTGCCATATTCACACTCACCATAAGACAGGTTGCGCGATACTGCCGCTCGTCGTTTTATACACCGCTCTCAACCCCCTTTCCTTCCACACCCGTACCACTGACATCTATCGTCGTCGGGGTCCCACGCCCCGTTAATTTCCCGCCCAGATATGTCCCTAGCTGCTCCCTAGATGGCGGGACTTTTGACTTGATGTCATGATGTTATAATTGCTCGTTCTGTATGGATATACGACAGGTAAGGAACTTCTCAAATATTATTGAAATCAAACATGTGATCATGTAACAGCATTTTTAACGCAAAAAAAAGATATTGTTCGTAAATGAAGAAATAAGATAATATAATAGCACTTTACTGATATTTCCATGAATAATCCCTCACAATGCATCAATAACGAGCGAACTCTACCCTGAATTGAATGAAAGTTTAAATATTGTTGTTAAATAAACCATGTATTCTAATTCGACAAAGCCGGGTATATTTAAATTTACTTATTATCACTTTCTTCGTCTTGTAACGCATACAATCGGCACAATAGCATTCAAAATTTATTAGGCTTGAATCCATTTGAATCGTCGACACGCGCATCACATTCTATCTTCATATATTTGCACCGTGTTGATTTTTCAAGGAAATAGTACTAATAATAAACTAATAATAATAGTACTAATAATAAACAATATCTCATAGAGCGCGGCGGAATAACCGCATGAAGAGTGCACTAGAGAATTTTTTGTATCAAACGACACAACTTTTCGTTTACCAAAATTCGATTTGAAGGATAGTTTTTAAAGAACTATTTAAATATTGTCGAATTAGCATATTGATCATTCTTCAATGAAGTGAAAAGAAAACAATCCATATGACTCACATGATATTTCATGATTTCGCGGGACGCGTGTCATTATTGACTTGCGCGCAATCTAATACACTAATTCGGCAACTTGAAATAGCTCTCACATATAAAAACTATCACTCGAACGGAATTTTTGATAAACGAAAAGTTACTTCGTTTGGTATCACTCTGTGCATATTCCTAAGATAATTACATAATATTTACCCATCTTCTTATCGTTAACTAAATTTTGAATGAGCCACTGAAGAAAGCGGATTTAGCTGATTTTTGCACAGTTCTACCTTCACTTGCTATTAATAAAACTTTATTCAATATCGATATACACTTTGCATTAAAAACCTGCAAGATGGATCTATGAAGATCTATAACGTTGATTTTTTTCAAGATAATGTTATGTTTTTATAAGATCTCGGGGCAGAGATAAAAAAAGGTGTAAGCTGTTCAAATATAAGAACTCCGAGGGACCGATAATCGGCGCTGATATCATGTTTTTTCTTTAAAATCACCTCTAGCATTACGTATTTTGGCACGTATTCTATTGTAGAAAATTTACATCATCCATCCAGTCGCTTAGCGAAGCTGAAACTCACGGGTTTAACATACCTAAAAGATAATACACATATATCCATTTGTTTTTAAAAATAATATATCAATATTATTTTATATACATTTATATATTAATACATACATATATACATACATACCTATACATATTAATATATATATATATATATATAACTGTACGTAAATATATGTCCACCACTGTATGTATGTATATATATATATTGTATATAGTATAGATTTACTTACCCTTGGCAGCAAAAGTAAGTGTTTTGATCCCGATAGGTAAGATTTCTGGACTGTAATTAATCAAAAAACTTCCATAACACAAGTGGTATAAAAGTTGCATAATACTGTCGCCGAAGTGCCCCTTATCCCTGAGAACGATTCATAATTCGCCACCTAAACGAGCATCTATTAATATATTAATGATGTCATATTATTATTACATCGCGATAATTCTCTTTGAATTTATACATAATTTATATGAACCTTATATGCATAATATCTGCATTTATATAACGTACCGATCAAGTCCGTGGTGTCCCGCGCGTGTCGTTCAGTTTTGTTTCCCGCATGCGACCGTATTATTATTCCATTGGCACGTTGATCTTCGCCAAGTTGTGCCACGCTAGATGACGATGATCCGGAGTATTGATGGTATCGATCCAGTGCTGCAAACGAGCACCCTTGCTGCCGCAACCCAGCATCAAGCCGCCTGGAATTTTTAAGAATATACCTAGCGATATTCGCAGAGTGTCTGTTTCGGAGATACGCTCTCTTTCAGCCAGAAATGAAGAGTCGAATCGACGTCGAACTTTAGCGGTCTGTCGATGCTCGAAATTTTTTGTCGATTCTAATCTAAATATAAACCTAGAATTGCGACTAGTAACTATCGACAATAGTTACTGTCGTTACGAAATATCATTTGCAACCAAATGACATTAATACGAACGAGACTTTAAAACAAACTAATGTTAGATTATTTTGTTCAAATAAAAAGAAACTGCCACTTTTTCTTTGGCATCTTCTCATCTCACAATGAGTCCGTCCATGGTTTCTATCCTGTAACGAATATGTCGTAATGCATAGTACCCATATAATTGTTCCTCTTAAGGAAGACTTTGTCCCAGACGGAGAGGCACAGCGTCAACCTCGTCAGCTCCGTCGAGGCAGTCACGAAAGAGAACTCTTCGTTCCATTCTGGATTCATTGTCTTTCGTTTGATGCTCGTGCACTGCGGGCTGCGCTCGACCTTCTTTTTCCCGCTTACCCTCTTGACAGTGGCACGCGCAGTCGAGGAGTCTGAAAGTTGCTGCCGAAGTTTATCGTTCGCATTCTCGACGAGAGCCAGTTTGACAAACGGATCGGAAAGCTCGTCTTTGCCCATGGGGAGGAGATTTGCGACACGGTGCACCGTGACCAACAACGCTCTCCGGCGCGTGCAGTAGTTGAGGCTCACCTGGATCACCCCACGGCAACTTAGACACATGCCCCAGGTGTCCTCTTCGTTGTCTACCTGCAAATCGGGATAATTCGAGAAATTATTGTCGAAGTTTGCTCCGCCCAATTACACGCAGAAACAGTCTCTATTTATCTCTACATTTTCTCTCTCTCCCTCTCTCTTCTTTTCTTTTCGTTCAATGCGATTTGACGCACATACTTGGTAGTGTTGCTGCAAAGAAACTTTGTAGTGCCTTGTTTCGTACGGCCGCAGTTCGTGCAGGGGGAACCTCGCTTCGCCCAGAAAGTCTTCGCCAAATGGATCCTCCTGGCTGATTAAGACGTGCAACGCTTTGCTGGCGATCTGAGGGAAAGATTTCCAACATGAGCTCATGATAACTCATTGTTCACAACTCGTGAACTTGTGTGCAGTCGCACCTGTTAGGATCATCTACTAGTACTTACATCTGCTTCCGTCGTGCGGTTGAAGTTCACCGTTTGGTGGAACTCGGGGTTGAGCGTGCGGTGCACCGCTCTCGTTCGCACCAGTTTGCTCATCGTTGCCTTCTTGACGGGCAGTATGTTCAGCTTGCAGAAAGGGTCGGCGAGGCCCTCGATGTCCATAGGTATCAGGCCGTTTGCACACTCCACCCTGCAGCGGAGGCACTGATCCGCTGGGTCATATCGCAGGAAGACCTCTAGGGTTCCGTAGTCTTGTCCTGTTTCTGTCTTCGGTACGGGAATTTGAGTTTTTTTTTCTGTTGCGTGCGTTTCGAGTCAGACTCTTCTCCAACTGCACTAAACCGTATTTTCTTACTTTGTTGCGAGACATGATTACTGACCTTGTGGGTATTCCGGTGTCTGGATCTTCGGCGACACGACTTGGCTGTTCCTGTGAGTATCGCTGGACGAACTATCCTGATCTTGGCAGGGCTTGCTCGCGTCCCGCTCCGCGTTCACCTCTAAGTGCCAATCGGTTTCTCGAGACTGCTCTACCGACGTCGTCGCCGTTGGCGTTCTTATTCTGCAATGAGATAAATTTGCGTAACTTCCATCGGCAAGCAGCTCGCCATCCTCGTCCTTACGTACCTCAGAGATTGTACCTTAGGGCCTTTGGATCGATTTAGGTGGACGGGTACGTTCTTACTCGCCTCCTCGACTGCCTCTTCCTGGAGGTCGACTTCAGCTTCGTTATCCTTCTCGTCGTCCACGAAGGACACGCGCTGCTGAAGTGGACTTCTGCCGCTCGCGGTCGAGCGAAGGGTGCCTTTTGAGCCCGTGGGGGACAGTTGACCACCTTGGGACAGGCAGGGCTTGCTCAGCCTGTCCGGACCGTTCTCGCGGTGCCCCAAAGGCGACGAGCCGCTTGGCTTGCCTCGGGGAGTGCTCGGCGACGAGATGCTGCTTGGCACGGGGCTGGAGATTGTTGACTTGATGGGGGTGCGATTGCACGGCAGGTTTGTGGGCGAGATGGGACGGCCACGTGCCATCGAGAGCCCTCCTCCCGTTTCATCGTCCGACGAGGAATCCTGCTGATCGGTCGATTCCGAGGACTTGTTCTGACGGCCTATCGCCCACGTCGACGTCCATCCACGCTCCTACGCACAAGTTTGAGCGATCTATTAAGCCGATCGGAAGATTCATAAAGCGCCTCTTTCTTTCTTTCTCTCTCATAAAACCGTTCGTTACGGTGATACTTTTTTTTTCTCTTGAAATACTTTAAAGCAAGCTCGTGGTTAAATATGTATTCAACGCTATCGCTTTCCTCGAGAACTTCTCACTCGGAACGTCGAGAATGTCGTTCGCGAATTCCTCGTACCTTCTTCTTCGGCGGGATAAACTTGGGCATACTCTTGAAAAACCAGCCGCCGCTCCTCATCCAGATCTCCCTGGTCTCCGCGCAGATCAGGCAGAGGTATTTCCTGTGCGCGTTGCCGTGGGACCACTGAATGATACGTTGCCGGAACACCATCGCCTGTTCCTGGAGGAACCTGAAGGAGCCTCGCATGGGCACTTTGCTTCCCTCTCCGTCGGCGCTGTCACTTCCTTCCAACGGATTAGGCTTCGTGATTTCGATGCCGCACTTTTGGCATACGTACTTTCGACAGTCCTTGCAGAGGTTTCCGCTTGCCCCCAGTACCGTGCCAAATCTATCGCCGCAGAGGCCGCAGGAACAAACGCAACGGCCGTTGACACGGCACCGTATTCCACAGCCGCTTCTCTGCCTAGACGTGGCCGACAACACGTTCTGCTTCACATTCTTCAGTCTTTCGACGAGCCTGCCGACTCGCTTCTGTTCCGACAAGTCCAGAGCCTCGTCCCGCTGTATCACCTGCGGAGAAACTTGTCGTCAGTCCCGAACCACTGCATCGGCTCCCGTTGAAAATTCTTTGTGAGTTTTCCCGAGTATCGATCACTTCCCAGATATAACACAGAGACGAATAGAAGTTCATAGAGAATTCACTTGAAAGTATACGTACAGAATTAGAGATAAATGAATATCTGTCGAATTCTTGAAGAATTAACCACAGTTCGTCTTGAAATATTCCGTCAGAAGTTCATTATAACGAATACTTGGCGACTTGATACGTTGAATATTCTAATTCGCGAGAGTTTATGAGTGTTTGTTACAATGATTTCCTGTGGCCGAGTTCAGCAAACGCTGTGTTATTTTCAGCTTTGTGTGTGCTTTGTGTGTGCATTATCATAATTGGGTCCTTTTTCACAAATAAATGATATCTCAGTATAATGAAAAGAAGAAAAGCGGCACCATTGTCGTTCCATTGAATCGTGATTGAACTGGACTTTCATAAATATTGTTACATTATAACCTAAAAATATGACTGCGTATAATGCAATTCTTCCTGTTCGGAGAACGTATCGAGAGTTGCACGGAGTTTTAGCGCATATGCACTATCGAAACCACTTCTCACGGTTTCGCTGTTCCGGCGCTGTTCTATACAGTCTCGTTTTTTTTCTGCCGTTTTTTTCTAGTTCCTGCCGGCTGCTTCCTGCGGTCTTCCATCGGCTCCTTCTGGTTCCCGCCGATGTGCTGCAGCTTGCGGTCTGCCACTGCCTCTTCCTAGATTCTACCGATGGCGCGTCGTCTCTTTCTGGTTCCTGTCGACGTCCTGAGGCTTTCCTCACGATTTTCTATTTCTTGCGCGCGCTCTCCCGAATTATCCTCAACGTTTTTCACAAGATAAAACATTTCCTACGGCATTCTTAATCGATCTTCTTCAAAAGAAGATCCCCGGATCACAGCCGTGACATTGCTATATGATCAACTGTTTTGAATTCAATTCATTAATATAAGATCGATTTGATTTAATAATCAATTCGTATCATCAATATTATAGTTTTCCACTCAACAGTATAAATGCTATGTATAACACATGTTATACGTAACATTTATATTGTTGAACGGCAAATTATAATTTTGACGTAATGTTACTTTTCAGAATTAGTGTACATTGGGTATTTTGTATTTCTCTTTTTGTTCGTAAACGCTGTCCCTCTTGAATTTTTAATGTATACATCTGTTGACATAAAGTAGTTCTATATGAATGTCTCAAGATGTTTTCAGGAATTCCAATCATGATGCATGTAACTTTCTAGATCATTCTTATAGTAGTCTTCTATGAATTATTTAAAAAAGTACAATTCAGGAAAGGAGAAAACTTTAGAAACACTTGAAAAATTCATCGTCGTGCTATCTGGGTTAACTTTTCCCCCAGGGCGGAAATATAAAAAATGAAATATTTTCAAATTAGAAAATTTATACTTTTCACGAGTTCCCACGCTAGAGGAGAGGATTTGTGACCCCCTGGGAGTTGATTATGAATCTTCTTTTCTAGCGTGAGTTCGTGAAAAGTGTGAAATTTTCTTGTTTGAAAACATTTCATTTTTCCGCCCTAGAGAAGACGTTACGTGATCGATATCTGGAAATTCAATCGAAATCGATTTAGAATAATGCTTTCATTGGGGGGAATCGCATCAGTCTCATTGTATATCAAAGTTCGTGTTGAAGAGCAGCGATATCGGAAGGTCGAGCGAATTGGATCGAGCGAGGTTTACCTGAATAATCATTTGTCGTTCGTTTTCGGTGAGCAAGTAAGGCTGTTGGGTGCCACGAGTGACGGTAGTGTTCGAATAATGAGGCCACAGGCATTCGAAGGATTTCGTTTTTTGGGACCATCCTTTGTTCAACCTAAGTACCAAGTATGCGAGATTCTATTATACGTGCTTCAACGGTAAGTGGATGCAAAAAGGGGATAAAACTTGGAGGGGGAGAAGGGGGTAACCCCTAAAACTTGCTGCTGTAGCGAAATAATGAAGAAAAATGTTAATTCCGATCACTCTAGCGTATGCGGGGAAATCGGCGGAGGCGTGAAACGAACTCACCTAGCCCGAAACTTGAGCTGCCGATCATCCGGGCAAACCCATCTGCCGCGTGACCAGGCCATTTCGCTGAGACTTACTCTGCATTTAGATCTTTCAACGTCCGATGCGAGGTGATTGGGCGTCGCCGAGGGATCTCGCCGTGTCTGAAAATGTCCGAGACAGCACGCGCGGAATCAAACTCTACCTTCGTCGCGCGTTCGTCGTGCACGGCCGATCGAACACCGTGCGCCAGGCGAACGCGTAAATTTACAGACGGAGTTCGCGGGAGTTTCCGCGGAAAATTCAATAAATCCGCCGCCGCCGTCTTGCTATCTGGTGCCATTGTTCATCGCGCGCGCGGATCGCGTACGGTTCACCGCGGTAAAGGGAACAAAGGAACCCTCGACGAAAGTGACTATATTTGCAACAGAATCGATATTTCCATGGTGCATACGGCTCGCGGCTCTAAGTCTTTTATACTTGTCTTATTAGCGGCGGCGTGTGTGCGCGCACGCGGGCGCGCGCGCGTGCGGCGTTAAAAAAAGGAACAAAGTCGTTGGAAAATGCAGTACCTGCTTTAGCACACGATGGGAGAAGAGGAGGGAGAAAGAGAGAGAGAGAGAGAGAGAGAAGAAAGACAAAGAGTCAGATGTATATTAAAACGGAAACCGGTGCGGTTGACGAGATTTCACGCCGGCGGTACGCCTTCGCAAGCGATCTATTTTCCTCGCTCGAGCGGGCGGGCGAACGAGCAGAGACGGACAAACCGCCTGCATGCGAAGAGGGAAAGAAAGAAAGAAGGAAAGAAAGCGCAATCAATCGAACCGGCGAGGCTGCGTTACGTCGGCGTTGCTGATCAATCGATGATGACGTGCGTGACATCGTCAACGATGCGTAAACCGCGCGCGCACACGTTATTCCATTATTAATAACGGAACCAGAGAGCCAGGCTCGTGCGGTTTCTTCGCGCGACTTCGGGCCTCACCACCGGGGCTCGCGCAAGCCACGTAATTAGATAGTTTATCGCATGCTCGATTAGGCCGCGTGCATAAATTAGGCTACGCACAGCGTACAATCTCCCTCCGAAAGCGAGCCTCCTTCATCGGATACGTGTGCTGAAATCGACGAGGTAGAATGATTCGACGTTCACATGGCAACGCACGCCGTCGCTACGAACTTGTGTGCCTCGTTTATCGATAACGTATCGGCAACGTTGCTCTGAACGAAAGCAACAGGAAGCGATATCCCATATGTCCAGATATAACGCGCGATATGTGTTTACGGTATTTTCTAAATTTAGACGAGAACTTGAGCGCAGTCAAAGCTGACGCGGAAGTACGTATCTCTCGGGAGCGTTAATTAAACAAGAAAAGGGACACGGTATGTGACGGAAGTAGGGGAGAAGAAATTTAAAAAGGCAAAATTTAAAAACCCGGGATTCGTGACGGATTGCGGAGCGGAACGGAAAATTCGCACCTATTTGCACACTTAACACCGCACAGTATCATTAACGCGTACACGCCGCATGTGTGTCGAGAAAAGGAGTCGTTGGATTACGATTCGAGGGAGAAGCGGTAGGAAGAGAAAGAGAGAAAAAGGGAGGGAAGGAAAGAGAGAGAGAGAGAGAGAGAAAAGAGAAAAAGAAGAAAGAAATGAAGAGGCCGTCGGAGACTCACCGGGTTGCAATCCGGCGTTTGTAAGAGGTCGTAGCTGTGGCCGGTGTCCGACGTTGGCGCTCACCTCGTCAATTAGCCGTCGCGCTAATTAACGTGCGTCGGCCCCGACTGTCCACTGGAGCTCGGGCGATCGCACAGACAGTAGTAGTGGTAGTGGTCGTCGTCGTTGAGTTGATCGTCACAAGCGCGACCGCCACGAGCTGCCACCACGGTGTCGTCATCCAACCAACAAGTGGGTGCTGACTGCTGGCTACTGCTATTGTGCTCGCTACTTATACCTTAGGAACTGTGCTCCTATGCGCGAGACTCTACTCGGTATATCAGCGAATGGCGGTAAAATGCGCGGGCGGGAGAGGATGGAGGCGGCGTGGGTGGAAAGTTGGCGAGAAGAGGAGGAGAGGAAAAGGGAGAGAGAGAGAGAGCTGCCCTAACTCATGCGATCCGCAGGGATGTATCAAACGAAGCCATCGAGCGCAGAGAGGAGAGACGCGAAAGAGAAAGTGGCAGGAGACGGGCGACGGCGGCAAGGGTGTCAGCGCGAAGGGATGGAATCGCAGAGAAGAGCGAGGAATCGAGCGCAACAGGCGTGGACGCATGTGCCGTCCCGTCGCGCGTTGTTTCAGCTCTCTCCCTCTCTCCCTCTCTCTCTCTCTCTCTCCGCTCTTGCAATTAGAGCTATCCGCGTGCCCGCTTCTCAATGTATCACAGCCAGTGGCTAGATAATCGTGCAGGTCGAGCGACGCGTGGAATTGGCGAGGAAGTAGGGCATTCCCCACGTAAAACACGGGGGGAGGGGGACTCCCCGCACGAGGAGGCTATCGCTCCCTCGTCCCTCTGGAACTGGGTTGCTAATTTTATAAAATAACGCATGCACGCATGTAGCGACGTTGCGAATAAGAGGGAACAGTGTCGCTGGTATAATCGAAAGGAATCCCTTCTTCCGCCTTGGTTCGCCGATACTCCTTAAATCTCCCGAAGGGAGATCCTCGGTCTCTTCTAAGTTCCTACGAGGAAAGCTCGATCGAGCTTTACACAGGACAAGTCGGCTGCTTTCAGTTATCGCCGCGATGATTTTCTCACTTATCCGTTCGTCGATCGAGCCTCCCTCTCTTTTAGTAACGGCGGTGGTACAAGGCAGGTACAACGTCCTTACCAGACGACTGGACGAAATACAAAGGGGATGATTTCCCGCACGTCACCGCGCAACCAGTGGCTGCACAAACTTCCCCCCCCC